AAGATTATGCCTGAAATACTTAATAGCTGCGTAAATAGCTAATAATTCTCTGTCATACGTGCTGTATTTTTGTTCTGTAGGGGACAGCTTACGTGAGAAAAATCCTAGCGGCTGGTAGTCATTAGAATGTCGAACGTTTAAGACAGCTCCGATGGAAATGTCAGAAGCGTCGACCATAACACTCAGCTTTTGGTTAGGAGAGTGATAGGAGAGAGTTGCAGCATTACTAAGGTCGTGTTTACATTTTTCAAATGCCTGATTAAGTTCGTCGTTCCAAGGAACAGGGCGTTTATCATTTTTACGTGAGTCTTTTAAGAGTTCATTCAGTGAAGCTTGGGTCTCGGCTGCCTTTGGTAAGAAGCGGCGATAAAAGTTTATCATGGCTAAAAAACGTCTGAGCTCGACAATAGTGGTAGGTTTTGGAAGTCGGCAATTGCTTTTGTTTTTCTCAGGCAGGGGTTTTACACCTGAGGCAGTAATGAGGCAACCTAAAAATGAAACAGATGGTTTTCCGAGTACACATTTGTTAGGGTTTAATGTCAAACCATGTTTATTCAAACGATCAAACACTTGACGAAGATGACGGATGTGCTCTTCTTCGCTAGTCGATGCAATAAGGATGTCGTCAAAATAAGGGATGCAAAAATCCAATCCAAATAAAACTTCATGTATAAAACGTTGGAAAGTTTGGCCTGAATTTCGTAAACCAAACGGCATAGCCAAAAATTCAAAAAGACCAAAAGGGGTTGTGACGGCAGTTTTTCGGAATGTCTGCAGGGTTAACAGGAATTTGATGATAGGCACGTGCTAAATCAAGTGTTGAGAATATGTTCTTTCCTGAAAACATTTGAGTGCAGTCCTGAATATGGGATACGGGATAGCGATCCGGAATTGTAACGGCATTTAAGCAACGATAATCCCCGCACGGTCGCCAGTCGCCATTAGCCTTACGAACCATGTGCAGGGGGCTTGCCCAAGGACTTTTTGAAAGCTGAATGATGCCTTTTGATAGGAGAAAATCAAACTCTTGACGTGCAGCTTGAAGTAATTCTGGAGGTAATCTTCTAGGTTTGGAGAAAATAGGAGGTCCTTTAGTTTCAATGTGATGGAAAATCGTTGACATTGGCCTCTCAAAAGTTTGTGAAGGATTCGTCAAGCTAGGGTAATCGGCAAGAATTTTGTCAAATTTTGAGTTACCCATCAAAATATGAATGCTAGTACTGAGCGGGTTCACATGAGGAAGTCTACCGCAAGAATATAGTTTTGTTTGTCCATCAATTAAACGGTTGTTTTTAACGTCTATGAGTAAGTTGAACTTTGTGAGAAAGTCAACACCTATGATGGGTTGATTGACGTCTGCCAGGATAAAAGGCCAAGTAAATGAGCGACGTAAGTTTAAATTGATGGTCAAAAGTTTGGTGCCATACGTTGCAATTTTAGTGCCGTTAGCGGCAAAGAGTTCCAATGCAGCTGGTATTTTGGCATGCTGACTGTAACTCTTGGGAATGACAGATAAATCGGCTCCGGTGTCAATTAAAAAAGTCAGCTTTGAGGATGAATCGGCCAAAAGAATTCGATTGATGTGGCGGTCGCAACGTTGGCCGGCAAGCGATCGCCGATCTAGTTTACCAACTGCCGGAAATTCCACGGAGAAACACACATTTTCGTGCCTTGGAACCAAAATTAGTATGGTAGAAACAGATGTTGTTGCACGGTTCTTTATACTGTCGATATAGCGTCCACTAGATCTATTGACGCCTACTGTTGCGTTGGGAATAGTCTCTTCGTTCACAGGAACGCTCACGGCTGTTTTTGAGGGCTAGCGAAAGTTCATTTACCTGCTTTGTCAGCTCTGCAACTTGCTGTTCAATGGGAGAGGTAGATGCCGTAGCAGCACTATTTATGTGCGGGAGAGTTGTGAGATCTGTAATTTTATCAGCTACAACTGCTAGTTTTGGAAGATCATCACTTAAGGCAGCAAGAATACTTTGTGTATTTTGCGGGAGACGAGATATCCATAGGGATTTCAACAAAGGTTCTCCAACGGTCTCTCCAGCGAGGTTTCGCATACGGCAAAGTAATTGTGATGGGCGTTGATCGCCAAGTTCTAGCCCTTGAAGAAGTGTACGTATCTTTGACTCCTCACTTTCAGGATGCAATTCAATTAAGCATGTTTTTAGTGTATCATATTTGCCAGTCACAGGTGGGTGTAAAAGGATATCACAAACGCTATTGAGAATATCAGATTCGATTGCAGATATCACATGATTGAATTTCGTGGAGTCAACAGTGATTCCGGCGATATCAAACTGGGCCTCTAGTTGTGCAAACCACAAAGTAGGGTTGACCTTCCAAAAGGGGGGAGGTTTGACGGAACACGTGAAATATTAAGATCATCTGTGATGGGTTGTGGTGGAGCCATGATTCACAAAAACAAATATATATTGCCAATATGACACAAATAAATACACAATAATCAGTCACTAATAAGTTCACATACGATACTAGTGCAAAATAAATAAAGTTAATGTAAGCATTAACGTGAGAGAAACACTTTTTGCAGGTAAGCTATCCGAATATAAGCATAAGTTTTAAGTACTACTACTAAGAATTTGTGTGGCTTCCTTCCGAATTATACGAGAAATATTTGCTCAGTCAGCAGCAGATTCAGCACAACACAATTCACTTATAGAAAAATATTCCGAAAAAACTTATTTCATGATATGTAACCACGTTGTACGATTTATATGGAGATCATTTCAAAGCACTTTGACGATTTGCATGAGACACATGATAATTCACAAGCACGTTGTTAAGCAGGCACAACTGTTTTTCACACTATATTGCTGATGACACGAAAATAATGATGGATTACGCTAGTAGTTTGCATGAACAGAAATAATTTTCACTTCATAGCACGTTATAATCACAGACACAGAACTTGAGGATGCAAGCAGGTTACAGGAGGCACGTGTTCACTAACTTGACGAGTTGCCATTTATGGCAGTTGTTAATGGATGTCATTTTTGATTGCACGTTGAATGTTAACAAAATCTGACTTGGTAATATTAACATTTATATTTAATTCTAGGATGATATATATTTTAACATATATCCTTTTATACACAATCACATTGCATGTAGTTACAAGATGAGCATTTTTCAGTTCGCAAGTCCGCATGAGTAAAAATCAAGAAAATCATATTACAGCTACGATAACATCACGGAGGGAAAGAGAGGTGAGTGTGTGCTTCACCGACGGCAGCCAGGAACCAAGTAACCAGTTCGAATTTTCCTCCAGAGAGGAAGAGGGAGAAAGCTGGTAGCGCCCTCTCTTGGGGCAGCGGCCAAATAATAATAATAAAGAGAGTTCTCCACAATATCTTTGTTTAAGCTGGTAGCGGTTGAGTGTTTTGTCAATCAATTAACCAAACTTTATTTTAAGCTGTTCTGATATTTTTTTATTGGATTTTATATTGCTTGGTAAGTTATTCAACTAAGTTTAGAAATTTTGTGTGCTTCCTGATTACCTGCTGAATTCTCCCCAAAATTGCCAGTCATTTGCGATTAATCTTTCACTAACCTAAGGTGCAAAAGACAACAAGCATTTTCCAAAATGGCAGTGCAGTAAAAACTACATAAAACAGCAACAAACTAACAAAATTTAAAATGCAAGAAATATCCGTAAAATAATACACCTAACATTTTTCTTTTCTTTTTCACTGCTCATCACCCCCACGTACATAGTCATCTGTGCTTCCTTCGAAAAGCATCAAAGACCTGCAGAAACTTAGCATCATCCACAACTTGGCCCTGCACACTCTCGTTTTCCCATGTATGCAGTAATCTGTTTTTACTCAAAAAGCATTGGAGAATTGCACATATTTTACATCCATCGTGCATGCTGTTGATTTCCCATGAGCAACAGCAATCTCTTTCCAGTTTAAAAAAATCAGAGAATTACACAAATTGCAGCATCGGCATAAAAATTTAATCATTTATGATGTACAAATTTGTGCATTTTGTACTGTTAGGCAAAATGCCATATTTTTGAAGAAATGCAATGACGTCTTTTTCGTCAACCAGCAAACTCCAAAATCCCCATAATGTTTACTCACAAGGAAAGAAATTTGCAAACTTATCAAGCACTAAGCAGAAAAATGACTTTTGAAAAGCTAAAATCCATATCCACTGTGCATGCACTCATGCGTGGGTTGCCACATAAATAAGTTACATGCAGGTAAATAAGTTTTTGTGACATTATGGGTTGCCTGTCTATGTTGTAGCATATTCATGATTGGGCATATAATTAGAAAGTACCAAATGTTTTTGGCTAAGCTGCTCTATTTTGTGTTCTCATTCATATTAGATATTAATATTAATGAATATTTTCTGTCTGAAGGAAAAGTTAAAACAGTTATTTTAGTAAGTCCGTGAATGATTGAAAATGTTAATTGAAATTTAACAGAAAAATTGTAGAGCTAATTCAAAACCTGTTGGGCATTTTGAACAACAAAGTATTTTTAAGCAAAATTCATTGGCGTTTATTATTCTGTGAAGTTATCCATTTAATCATAACTTGGCGTATTGTTTTTCTGCCTTGTTTTAGATAAATAATAAATTATATATGTATGTGTGTAATCTTTGAGTTAAACCATTTTTTTACTTCATACTTCAGTTGCGAGTAAAAATATATGTTGTAACTAATTATTGAATTTTTGGCATATTTGAATATTTTTAAAGGAGATATAGCTACAACTTATTAGTTTCTGTAAAAATAAACAATTTATTTTTTATATGTTATAAACAAATTTTTTCCCCTTTAAGATACTTTCTTTTTGCTCTAGTGATTTTGTTTTATGAATTTTGATTATAAGTAAGATAGTTTAGTCTTCAAACAAGCTTTGCTCAATATATGTATAGTTAAATGATAAGTGTTTGACTTTTGGATTAAAAAGAAATAAGTTTGATAGTTATGTGTTTAACATCACCTTTTTCAGGCTACTTTTGATCCAGAAATTTTTTTCAACATCATTCTACCTCCTATTATATTTAATGCTGGGTACAGTTTGAAGCGTGTGAGTATCCATTTGTATATTTTAGTTTGTTATTATTTATCACTTGATGTGAATTTTTTTCATCCACTTATAATCACTTATCATTCACTTATTAAGAAATAAATGAGATAGAACAGTTTGCTTATCAGTGTAATTAGATTAAATTAAGGTTTAATTGTGCATTTATTCTTATATGCTATTTTATAGTGTTTGAACAAAGGCTTTTTTGGGGCGGGGGGGGGGGGGAATACATCTAAACCTGAAATTCGGGTAATGTTTTGTTTAAAATGTTTATATCTTGAGCTTCTAAAAATGTAATGTTTCTAATGTATTTTAAACAAATTAAATTTTGGTTAGATTTGTATAACTTTAAACTTGTTTTATTGGCTCTTGTAACTCAAAATTTTAATATTTTTAAAACTAGAAACTGTATTTAGGTAAGTTATGATAAATAATTATTATTAAAATATTGTGATTTTTCTTTGTTTATTAATTAATTATTAATTTTAAATCAACATAAAATTAATATATTAGATGATATCACAATATAATTTGATGACTTAACATTGAAAATATAATCTAATTACCCCAGTAAATATTATTTAGGTTACATTTGCAATTGTCTTTGTTAATTACATTTAAATGTACATGTTAGTTTTAATGGCAATACTTAATTGTGTGTTATCATTTTATTATATTTCAGAAATTTTTCTTCAGAAATTTGGGTACCATCTTTACATATGCTTTTCTTGGAACAACAATATCATGTTTTGCAGTTGGGTAAGTTTTCTCTCTAATTTTTAATCTTACATTAGTAAAAGTTCAAGTTGAGGAAATGATTTTAAATGGAAGTAGGTCTGTTATTTAAGGAAGTATGTTTTGGAGCAACTTTCACTTTATTAAACAACTTTAATTTAACTTTATAAAAGCTACATCGCATGTGTTTGGTACTCTCCAACTGTTGATTTTTTAATGCCTTAATTTAACACATTATCATTGCATTTTATCAAACTTCTTGTACTTGACAAACCCATTTTGGATGTTGTGAATAAAGACAAATTTGTGTTGTATGAAGAAATTTTTATGTGGTGGCTGATTTTTAATTAATTTTTAAATAGAAATGGAAATGCAGAGAAATACATGTATTTATATACTAATATATGTTTAACATGTTATGAATAAAATAATATATGTATAAAAGGTTGGATATTTACAATGATCAGTAATCATAAGGATCTCATCCATTTCTGTTTCTGTAGTTTGAGTGTAAAAACAGCCGGCTAATTGAATCAATATGTCTGCCAATTGCGTGATCACATAATTATTAAATTTTTATAAATTGAAAACCAAAAACATTTGAAATTCATTACATATTGAGTAATGAAATGAGTTTATGAAAAAATGCATGAATGATAATACTTTTATATTAATTTCAATAAGAATGAACACATGTTCATGGGAAGAAAGTTTGTGATGACTGTTAGTTCTTCCTTAAATTCTGCAGTTACCATTATCTTTATATGTGCTGTTCATTCTTTTTAAAATTTCTGTTACCGTTTATGCACTATTCATGCATATTTTTTTGTAGATGTTATTCAAATTGCAGTGATAACTGTATTTTGGACAACAGGTTAGAGAGCTTTAATAACAGATCAATCTAATACTTGAAGGGCCTTTCATTTAATTATGCATCGTTACATGCATAGTATACAAACAGAATAGGTGGAATGCAGATCCACTATGACAAGTAGCATAATGTAGAAAAAGCTTAGATTTTATATGCATCAATTTTTTCAGTCCCACTTTTATTTCCAAACTTTTTTATATTTAATTTAATAATTTTATTTCCAAACTTTTTGATATTTAATTTAAGAAAAGAAATTATTTCATATTATTAGTTTGATTATATTTAATAATTCGTGACTGTATGTGTGCTTTTCTACCTCCCTGCTGCAATCTGGTCTAGTATCTTATGTATTGCATGATAAAAAAATACATCAGTTTTATCCTGTACCACTCTCAACTAGAACCAGATATGACAATTACTCTTATAGAGGTTGTTTTAGGAAGTGTGGCTTATACAAAATAGTAAAATCCAAAAAAATAATAAAATAGTAAAATCCAACTGAAGAAAATTTCAAATTTGAATAAAGTAAATAGTTAAGCAATTTTTTACACAAGATTAAAATTGAAAAATAATAATTTAAGTTCTTTTAAAAAAAATCATTGAGTGCCATGTAGTTTCTGTTATGTCTTTGATTAATGAAACATTTTTTGTTATAGAAGATTTTTTGTTATATTATTTGTTTAAACATTTTTTGCTGAAGTAGAAAATCATCATAAACTATAATACATATGTGTGTGTGTGTTTTAAAAAATACTGCTTTTATACTATATATATGTATATCTGTATATATATATGTGTGTGTGTAATAAAAGCAAATATGTAAATCAGCTTTACAATTTTAGTAATAGTCTCTTAATCCCTCTGTTTTAATTTGGGTATTTAGCTTTCTGTTCTAAAAATAACAACAACATTTCTAGACTTTGTAGATGAACGTATGCCACAGAGCTTGCATAATGCTGATGAGGTAGTTAATTTGGAATCTAAACTCTCAGAACTGACACCTTTCTGACCTAAACCAAAACCTTTCTCTTAACAGACTGCCATACTGGATAAATGCACACTTTTATGTTTTAGCTGTGCTGCTTGGACGCTATTTTGCTGTGCTCTCTTCCTGTCGCAATAGTATCAAAAATTTAAATGTTCTGGAAATAAGCACGATTAGAGTGCCAAGTAAATTGTAGCTGCAATGTATTCATTTTAGCATGTTATCTCTTCAATATGGATTTACTACGTTCTGTGAATTCTAAGTTCTATACCAAACAACATTGCTGCATTTCTACGTCTCCGTGATCCTAGTGTTCTTACATAAGTACTCTTAAATTTTGGTTTTATTACATATATACAGGATGCATAGGAAAGTCTCTTTAACCTGAAAAATCTTGTGAACAGAGAGAACTATGGCTATTGCAAATGATGTAACGATATAGTAAAGCAACTATACCCGACCTAATGCAAATGACAGCAGTGGCCATAGTGCCAAAATTTGGAAGGTAGGCATTCCAAATCAAAAGCAAAAAGAGATAGAGCAAAATTTCCAATTAGAAAGTTTTAGAGCATCAACTAATTAGTAAAAAATGACATATATTTCACACAGATAAGATAAATTGTCGCATGTATACCCAAAGATCTTGCAACCGAAGCACTCCACTTTGTGTAAGCATTTGAAAGGAATAGACATAGGTATTAAGAAATAAACACCTTTTTATTGCATGAAATATGTATGTATGTCAGTACAGTTTGATAACATTACACACACAAACCAAAAAAATCTAAAGCTAACTGCTACACAGGTGATAGCAAGTTAATGTAAACTTCCAGCAGACTTGCATGTAAAGTTGCATAATCCCAATCTTTTATGTAACCCCACAAGGAAGAAATCCAACGGAGTGAGGTCCGGCAATTATGGAGACCATTCAACACTACCACCATGCTCGATAATTTGTTGTCCAAAACAGTTCGAGAAAGCTTCATACTCCAGCTGTCTGAAAAACTATTCAGAGTATTTTTCTGTAATATGCTGCTGAAAATTGTTCAGTATAGACAAAAAGTAAGAAATTTAGAACTCATTTCACACAAAAACCAAAAAAGTGAAATTCAATGCCAATAAAATTCAAAATTTCCTATAAAATTCATATAATTAAAAGTTTGAATTTTTTATCTGAAAGCTCAACGAGAGAAGGATAAAGAAAGATGTTTTTGAAAGTTTTATACTTTTTTATTTGTGTGTACTTTTTCTATTTTTGTATCTTTTCTTGACTTAGCTGTTAATAACATTGGGCCTAGTATATTCCAGGCATCATGATGTGCCCATAACATGAAGACTTTTTTTTTCTAAAATTTATTCCTTTTCTTTTTTCCCTCTACTTTTTCCTTTTATATTAAAAAAAAAATTCTTTTAAGCATTAAATTCACCATTTAGAAGATTTCTAATTTGCCTTCACCAATGAAGCTAACTGGCAACCCTTGGCATCTATTTTGAATCTAATGTTTCTGTTCATTATTTCGAAATTTATACTTTATGGTGTTCTTGCTTCATTTCTAGTAGATTTTATTTCAATTTAATCTAAATTGTGTAAAAAATTGCTTAACTATTTACTTTATTCAAATTTGAAATTTTCTTCAGTTGGATTTTACTATTTTTTTCACTACTGGATTGCTACTTCATCCTACGAGTAAGTTTTAAATTCATGTTCTCAGTTTATTTTTGTTATTTTTTATTTTAATTCAGTGAAATAATTTTTCAATTCAGTGAAAAAGTCTAATTTTATTCTTTTACTTGATTTGATATTGAATTTTCCCTCCCGTCGAGGAGGACTTCAAAATTTTCGGATGAACTGTTATAAACTTTAGAATAGTTTATAAACTTATTTTTAATACATAATTGCAAGGTTTTTTTAAATCAAAGAGGGATTGTAATTGAGTCTGATGTATTCTCCTCTTGATAACATTACATCAGATTTTATCAGATTCCTCTTCATTTATTTTTCTCGTATTGATATATTTTTTCAGGTATTTATAATTTTTTGTTTTTAATTTCACAATTCTTATTTCTTATATTTATAGGATAATTTTAAATTTATTGGTACTGAATTTCACTTTGTGGTCTTTGTGTAAAATGAATTCTAAATTTCTTACTTTTTGTCTGTATATACATATGTATATAAATCTCATTTAAGAACAAGTAGTGTCAAAAAGAGTCTTGAAAGTCAGTCTTCACACCATGGAAAATTAATTTCTATGTGAGGGTTAATTCAGTCATTGCCTAAAACTGTCAAATTGCTAAATTTCCAGGACAATGGTAATGTGCTATATTAGTGTTCTGAAAATTGTTGAATAATTACATTTTGGGTAGCACTTATTAGAAAGTCACCTTTTTGAGTTAAATCATGGCAAAAATATACTTATTTTGTTAAATTGAGATGTTGAAATTATTTCTGATTAATATGTGTCTTTATAGGGGTGTTATGTTTGCTCTCTTACAACTCATGCCTCATTTAGAATTTTCTTTCAATGATTGTTTGTATTTTGGAGCTGTGATTTCTGCCACTGATCCAGGTAACTAACTATTCTATATGATTAATATATATATTAAATAAAGACAATTTTTTTTAAATGCTGATTTTTATATATGAAGATTACATAAAAACTCTATATGATCAATATTTACTTGTAGAGTTAATGTATGTTCATCGTGAACATTACTCTATTGGTCATACTTTTTCCATCATTAGTATTAAAAATTCTTCTTTCTCTGTATATAGTTAATAAATTCATTTATGTATTTCATTTTAGCTTTTGGTTATCATAAGATTATGATATCATTGATAAATTTAAAATATTATGATATCATTGGTAAATTATAAATTTTTAGCTCATCATTTATAATTGAATTTAAGGTTATACTTCATTAATTTCACAGTATCAAATATGGAAGAGAGTCCTACAAACTTGACTTCATATCAATTGAGAAAATGATGAGTTACTGAAAATGTTGAGTTTAAGGAAAGAGGGGATGGGTTGTTCACAACTCGTGATATTTTGCTTTTTTTTTTTGGTTCAATACTAATATCCATGGCAGCTTTATTAATATTTTTTTCCATTGTCCAGTCTCTTAAGGCACCCCGTTTCATTTCCATTATCATGTTGGTTTCTTTTCTTTTATTAACCCCTTCCTTTCAACATTTTCACTCGCACTGGCAACACAAAACTTATAAGCATGTTATAAACTGAGAAAATATAGCCAGAATGAGCAGAAAGTAAAGCTTACGATAGCACAGATTTTCTTAAACTGTGGGTCACTAAAAGTTTTAGCAGTTTTGATATTTCTTTAACTTGTTATAATAATTTTACAATTACCAAATATTTTTACACAATGTATCTGAAAACGGATAAAGATACAATACAGACAAAGAAAAAAAGGAAAACGTTTCGGCGCATTCTTTTTATAATATAAAAGTTCATTTTACTTGCTTTGCACATGATGCTCTCATTTCGTCTGTTACTTATTTAAAATTTTTGTATTGTTCTGTGTCTTAAAATTAGAAATTAATGACCTAAAACTGCAATAGTATATTTACAGTACAAGTGAACAAATTTACGGTTTCACTCATGCATGTGTCAGATTTGTGCAATGCTTGTGGGGTTCCACTAAAGTTTTGTAAATATTACGGGGGCCTGAGGGTCACAAAAAAGATCTCAGTGATAAAAAGGAGTCATGACTGGAAAAAGTTTAAGAAGCGCTGCAATAGGGTTTAGCTATAAACCATCAGGCAAGCCTGCTAATCGCCATCAACAGATAGGAATGTGAGTGGTAATTGACAGCAACTGCCTTTTTTCAATCAGTTTGTGATTGAGAAGAGAAATGGAATAGATAGGAATTTCTATGAAAAGAAATCAACCTGTCATTAAATTTCCTGTACAGTTTCCAAGAAATAGTGTCACAAAAAGACAAAAATTACAAAATTATAATACTGTAACAAATCTTAGGTCAAAGCTGGATATTCATATGCATAAATTTGTACTGTAATTGTGAGAATATAGTAATATAAATGCACTTATATTGCATACCCATAAAGAAATATTAGAAGTTATTGCAGTCTAGCTATTAATAAATCACCACATTATTACAAAGATAATGTTCTGCTTGACTGGCAGAAATCATTTGGTGATTAAATAAAAAAGTAATCGTAGAGTTATACAGAATATCAAGTTTCTTAACATTTTAATCTTTGTTTTTCCAAATGGCCTGTCTCTTGCTCTTCAAGAACAGTTATCAAATATATGAAAGCAGGTATTTTGTAGCTAGTGACTAGTCCATACACAACATAGAGAAATTGGGGGGGGGGAATGCTGGTAATTTACTTTAACAAATGCCTTTATTAATGTCAACAACAGCACTTGTTTTTGTTCTTCTTGAGCATGCTTTTTTTTCCCATGATATATGCAGAATAATAATATTAAAGTCAATTTGCATTAAATAAGGTACTTAATTCAGTTGTGCTGAATTCACCAAATAGTTCTTTGAGGTTCTGTGTGTTTGTGTACAGATATTTTTAAAAAGAAATTAAACATGATGTAAACAGTCTTAGAAAGAATTAGAAAAGAAGTTAGTATAAAAAGTATTTTGGGTTCTTTTGGTTTTTCATCATAGGTGTTAGTACAATTTATGCTATGAAATTTATACAGATTTTAAACTTATGTATAGTTTTTGTTATCTGATTTAAATTTTAGAAAAATTAAAGTTATTTGTCTTACAATTTTCATTGAAATTCAATAAATTCAGTTTCATGCTCTTGTGAAAAATCTCTGGTTATTCCATAAATTTAATTTTACATAACATCTGCCCAATGCAGATAATGGATCAGTTTTTCTTTTTCTGTTATTAATAAAACGAGTTACTGAATTATATTTGAAATTTATCTAATAACTTAAGTTTTCATATATTAACTTTTTGGTAGGCATGTTTTAGAATTAACATTCATAGCATCATGTGAAGTATATATTAATTGACATTCACATCAACTGTTAATTTATTAATAATATATAATTATATATACATCAGTGTGTAATTATATGTCTACCAGAGTTGAAAAGTTATAATTTGCAGGTGCAATAATATTCGTAAAATTTAAATACAACTTTATTATTAATATAATGAATATTTCTCGAGTCTTATTTTATTTTTATCTTTTTTAAATTTAGTTACTATACTAGCCATCTTCCATGACCTGCATGTTGATGTCAATTTGTATGCTTTAGTATTTGGAGAGAGTATATTAAATGATGCCATTGCTATAGTATTAGCTGGGTAAGTTTTTAAAAGTCTTCTTGCTCCCCCTCCCAAGTTAAAAATCATTTTCATGTTGTTTTTCTTGTTAGCTAAAAGTAATTTATGTATCTTCCTAATTCTTAATATCTCTGTATAAAACTGCATGCAACACTAATACAGTCAAAAGTCTTTAATCCGGATTCGTCTTGACTTCGGCGATTCTGGAGTATCGGGTTTTCCAGATTATAGATCATCAATTTAAATCTGGTAAGATGGCAATAAGAAATTATAAAATTAAAAATATGAAACCGTAATTTATGAAATAAAGAGCAATTATGATCTAAAGGATATCAAAGTTTACAAAAAAAAAAAGCTTAATATTTATTTGTTTACTTTATTAAACAATTCTTTCAATGTAAGTTGTTTAAGTTGCTTCATTTTTTTTTTTTTTAATTCTATAAACAAATATAATTTCTTGTTCAAGTCTCCTGTAATTGCTGTGTCGAGAATACCGACTAACTTGTGAATCAAAATTTTTTCATTTTCAATAACCTCTCTGTCACTTTCTTCACTATCAAAAGCGGTATTTTCTGGATCTAGAAACATACTACAGATTTTGCCGTCTGTTAATTGATTGATGATTGGTGCATTGTCATCGCAATGAAAAACTTCTGTTATATCATCTTCATTTATTACCGCTTCTCCACATTTCTTTACAAAATTCAATAACTGGAAAATTCGCGATGTCCGAAAACCTTCAAATTCGGGGCTATCATCTTCATCATCCTCACCATGAAATATGGTAGCTGGCCATAAATTATGCCAAGCATTTTTTAACATATCTGAAGACACATCCTCCGAAGATCTTGTGATGCTCCACACAGCAGATTTTATGCTAAAATTTGTGAATAATCTTGCCATTGTTCAATTTAACATAGATTTTTAAAATGCTACTTTATATTTGCATTTCAGCATGTGCCGTCCATCATACATTAAAAGTGCATGCATAAAGCATACAAAAAAAAAAGTTTGTGCTTTGAGGTCCGGATTATAGATCATTCCGGATAATGGATGTCCGGATTACGGACTTTGACTGTATATTGTTGTGAAATGCCTGGCTGAGGTGAGATAACTTCCTCGCAAAAGTGGGGTTAGAGTCGATAGAAAGTGGCAGGGAAAAGCAGGATTGTCAAAGTTTACGCAAAATCACCCATTTGGCAATAGAACTGCTGATATGCCATAGACAAAGCAAGAACATTCTAGAACACGTTCTTGATGATTTTACTCAGCAATGTTTTCAAAGGTAGGATAAAGCTATATATACCCTGCCTGTACGCAGAGAGAAGAGTATGTTGAGTTCAGTAGTAGTGTTTTGAGCTTGGAAATTAGCTTGAGAGCTACCAAACCAAGTCAGGATCTGTACTTTGATGCTTTTCCATGAAGCTGTGTTTATTGTTGTAGCCTGAAGGCTGTGTTGATGATTGTTTCTGTGTGTATTGCAGTTTTTTGACGACTGTAACATGTCTTTGGAACTCTCCTCTGTAATACTGGCAAATAAATTGTGTTTTGATTCTTCATCTAGTGTCATCGTCAATTACTCCATAACCACGAACCCGTAGAATGCAACAACTGATGTTGGGAGTGGGGTTTGCGAGTCAATGCTAGTAACTGGCCTACAGGAAAATGTCATGGCGGAGGAAATGGAGGCTTTGTTGGACTTGTTAGCAGCTGTAAATGCTAGACAAGAAGAGATGAAGGCCAGGCAAGAAGAGGTCATGGTTGAACAAGAAAAGCTAAATTGGAGCCAAAATAATAAAAGATGTGGAAATGACAGCAGTGGCAACTGAGGAATGAAAGGATGCAGAAATGAAGGAAGGAGCTGGTGAAGTGTCTGAGAAAGATCAAGAAAGAAAAGTTGAAGAAATAAAAGATGGGAAAGAAGCTTTTGATTCACAAATGCCTGAAGTTGAAATGGAAGAAAGTGATAATACTGTTTGTAAAGATGAAGAAATAAAAGAAGTGGCTTGTAAAGCATCTGAAAAAGGTGAAGAAATAATTCATGGAAATGAAGTTCTTGATTCTCAAGCGCCTGAAGTAGAGGTAGAAAAAAGTGAAAATGTTACTTTTAAGTTGGTAGAAACTGATAGTGAAGTTGCAAAGTCGCAGTTAGTAAGAACTGAACCATCTGAAAATTCATTTGATGCAGAGATTGGAGAAGCTGATGCACAACTTAAGCAGAATGTTCCGGTATTGCAAAAAAACACCCACTTCACGAACTGTGCATCTCACAATACAAATTGTACAGACACAAAACCAGGTGACTTCTATTTGTAAAGAATTGAATTCTAATCATAACTCTGATGCAAAAATCGGAACTGGTTTTCAGGAAATAGCGGAAAGTAAGCATGTACCAACTGCTAAAAATACCGAGGTGAACTGTACGCTTGTTGTGAATAAACTACATAATGGTGAGCAAACTGTTTCAGATCTTTCTTTGGAGGCAAAATCTAAAAGGGCTGAATCTTTAGACTATGATATGCAAAACAGAAATACATCGGAGAATTGCAGTGAAAAGTAATTAACCTTGATGAAAGTTTGAAACTGAAATGTATTCTGAGATTTAATTTATGTAATTTAAAATGTGGTTAATTTGTGTATATAACTTGTAAATAGTTGTTATTTTATCTTTATTTACTTTATTTGTTTGTTTTGTTACCTTTTGAATTCGGCTTCTGACCAAGGATTATACTGCCTGGGATATGCAGTCCTTGGGAGGGGGCAGTGTTGTGAAATACCCATCTGTGGTAAAATAGCTCGTCCGCAAAGTGGGTTTAGGGTTACCAGAAAGTGACAGGAAAAAGCACATGTGCCAGATTTGGTGCGAAATTGCAAATTTGGTAACAAAATTGCCAATATGCCATAGACGGAGCGAGAACATTCTAGAATGCATTCTTGGCGTTTTTACTCGGGAATGTTCTCGAAGCTAGAATAAAGCTACATACGAGGGTTGGAACTTTAATAGTGGCAACACAGCTGAAAAAGCGCTACACAACAAAACCAAAGAATATCGCGTATACTACACGTGAACTACATACCTACCTTACCTCTCAGCAAAAAGACTCGTCCTGCCTACGTCACGCGCATGCGGAGTGACGCGAAGAACGGATCGTTGTATTAGCTCGCGGTCTAAAGTAAGTGTTGTCAGGATGTTTTCAAAACAAGAACAACAATGTTGGATAAAAATTGAATGTGCCAGAGGTTGTACAGCACGACAGTGTCATCAAGAGCTTCAAGAGGCTTGGGGGGAATCTGCATTGCCTTACAGAACCGTAGCAAGATAGGTGAAAGCATTCAATGAAGGACGCCAAAACGTGGCAGACATGCTGTGGCCAGGTCGTCCGAGTGTCAGCGATGCAGACGTGCAAGCTGTTGCCGCACTAATGGACAGTGATCGCCGCCAAACGATTCATCAGCTGGCCGGACAAACAGGACTAGCGCATACAACTGTGCTGCACATTCTGAAGGAACGCCTGACCATGAGAAAAATTGCTTCACGATGGCTTCCACATCAATTGACGGAAATGCAGAAATGGCTACGATACGACGCTGCCCGAACCCACCTGGAGCGCTATAAGCGCGAAGGAGATGCTTTTTTACGCCGTATTATTATGCTGGATGAGACTTGGGCCCGATCGTACCAGCCAGAACTGAAATGCCAATCAAACAAATGGCGTCATCACGGGTCACCACAACGTTCGAAATTTCGTCAGAACCCCAGCAATGTGAAAGTTATGGTGATTCTCGTGTACGACCGTGATGGTTTCGTCCTAATGCATACCGTTTCCCACAGCACACCCTCACTGTGCAGTATCACTGCTCATTTTTGGAGCACAATCTCCAACAGCTTTGAGAAAAAAACGGCGACACTTTCTGCAGAACGTTTCTCTCATTTTGCATGACAATGAGTCATGCGTTTGCATGACAATGCAGACTGAGTTAGTTTTGGTTTTTAAAGCCTTCTGATTGGATGGTTAATATTGCTGTAAAATTATTATTGGCTGTTAAGAGTTTTAATTCCGTTTACTTCATCAGAATTATGTAAGAGTCATATGACATAGAATTTTCTCGAAATGACGCAGTGCAGAGAGGGGATACTATTTTTAGAATAGAGAAGGGAAATTAATTTACGCTGCTAAATTTAATATTTTACATATCCTTTTTCTTACATATATATATGATGTGTGTATCTTAGTTTTTTCCTTAAAAAAATCTTAATTTTTTAAAAAATATATGAGCACATTTAATGCAGAAATAATGTCGGTTTTATATTAGTATTTGAACTTTTATTTCTAATTAAATTAATGTTGCCTTATGATAAAAATCATGTTTAATTTCTTATACATTCTGATTGCAATAAAATTTTTACTCTTGAAATATAAATGTTGAGTGAGCTTGATGATTCATTTCCAAACTCTGACTCTCCAATTAGATCAATAGGTAACTATGCTGAGATGTATGGTAAAGGAGAAGATGGATTTCAGTCTTCAGCTGCATTTCAGTCTGTAGGAAACTTTTTATATATTTTTATTTGTTCCTTTTTAATTGGGTCTGGAACTGGATGTTTGACTGCTGCAATATCCTTTTGAATCTTAGAATTTAGTTAAATGTGGAATTAAGAATTTTTCTTTTAAAAAGTGCTTAAAATGTTTTGATTTGAAAATGTTATTTAATTAAAAAGTGTGAATGATTTCTTGATTCAAAATTTTTTTCTTTTTAAAATTGAGATACTTGATTATTAATATCCTCTACCGAGTGTAAAAAAATCATTGTCTGGGAAAATATTAAATTTTTTTAATCTGATTTATTAAATTTAAATCAAATTTAATATTTTTCCTACAAGAACTTATTTACATTGTTACCATGTGTGTTTTAACAACATGCTCAGTAAAATTTAATGTATTTAAAGGTTCTGGCTAGTAGTTAAGTATATGTGATATGCAAATTGTTTTTCTGTTTCGCTCATATTTATTGCATTATCGATTGCAAAACCACAAATTTTACATTTAAGATTTTTTTAAAGATCAATAGGAAGCATAAGTTACTTTTCACTTGTATTTGCTCTTAATAATGTATCAATAATTGTCACTAGACGTATAGTTCCATCTGTTTTGCCAACATACATGCAGATTATTCGTTGATTGTGCCTATTAGACCAACTGTGTAGCATTATACATATAGTTTAACTAAAAAATTATTGCATTTCAGTATTTATTCTTCATATGTATCATTTGATAATTACTTTGGAAGTCGGTTTTTGGTGAAGTTTTTGATCCAGGATGAAGCATCTTCATTAATTTTATGAAATGAGGGTTTTCTGTGCTGTGAAATAATGCATTCAGATTATAAAAAAAAAAGGATTCATTTTAGATACTAAGAAGATAGTGTTTTTACAAAATATTTTCTTAGATCATGCACAATGTATTTTAAATTAGTGCACTGATCATCAAATTTGTTCTTAAGACTAGACAGACTGGAAAGTGACACACTTTCTTGCACTATATTAATATAGTTTGTTATTAATGTAATGTGCCAGTGCCAAAGAGAAAAATGCTCCTAAACCTGTCTTCCCCCCTACACAGAGAGGGAGAGAGAGAGAGAAATTAAATTATTGCATTAATAAATTCCTTAACTGTGTCTACTTAACCAAATTTACCCGTCTTTGTGATTTTCCTCTTCTGGAGTCCAGTCTATTTGTGCTCATGTCATATAGCACTTTTCTAATGGCAGAAGCAGCTGATCTCACAGGTTGTTTTCATATTAATTTTTAACTTGGTCACATTACATGTTTAATTTTTTAAAGTATTTTAGTATTTTTATGTGAACCTATAATTTAACTAATGTTATTAGTATTAATATCATTGTAAATATTTGAATCTTTTCTGACTGTTTTTTTTTTTTTTTTGAGGGAATAATGTTTTATTTATTTATTGGGTACTCTTCTGTTATCAGTCTCGAATTCATAAATGTATGTATATGCAGATGTGTGCATGTGTGTATTTGCACACGTACATTCTTACAATACATATATACGTGCGTACATAAACACATTCATCTATTCATTCATACATTTCTGAATCCACTTCCGATAACAGAAGGGTACCATTTATTGGTTTTAGTTTGATAATTTTTGTGTTTATTTTGTGTTTAATCTAACTTTTATCTGCCTGTCTTGTATTTAAGTTTTTATTTGTTACATAGAATTGTAGATCTTTTAGTTTTAAGTGGAATTATAAAAATAGTATAATTAAAATGCATGATATGGGCAGTTTCGTTTCTGGCAGACCTTAGTGACAATTTTTGTTGCCAACTTTTCGCGATTTCCTGTTAACTTAGTGACTTTCTGAAAGATTTGTGAGAATGTTTTTTCCATACTACGGATTTTTGAGAAACTTTACAGTATATTTCATGTGGTAAGGAAGAATTCCTTAGCATCTGCATTTTCCTTGAATTGTTTCTAGTTATTTATATTGCTGGTGTGCTACTTATTGTGCTTTTTTCATAATAAATTGTTCATTTCTTCTTGCTTGTTTGAACATATTATTTAGTATACAGAAACATCAACTATCCCATAGCTTTCAAGCTATTTATCTTATTATTGCAAGAGTATTTATCAACAGTATATTATTCTTATTTGTGGTTTAGTTCTGCAGACCAATAAATATGATTAAATGTGTACTGTAAAATTTAATATAGGAAGAAATATTTTTTGAAGTATTAGATTCATACCTTTATTATTACGAATTGTCTGTTTAATTTGTTTCAGGTATCGTTGCTGTATTATTTTGTGGCATTTGTCAAGCTCATTACACTTATAATAACTTGACTTTAGAATCAAGAGCAAGAACAAAACAAGTGAGTGATTTTATTAATGATATTGATATTTTTTAATACAAGGTTGAAGTTTTTTGTAAAAATAATGAAATATTTATTCATTCATTTTTTCTAGTTATTTGAATTGTTGAGTTTCGTAGCCGAAAATTTCATTTTTTGTTACATTGGAGTAAGCATGTTTACCTATCAAAAGCATTACTGGCATGTTGGATTCATAATAACAGCCTTTGTATCCTTTCAAATTTGTAATGTATAAATTCCATATGTAGAAAATTAATTTATAGGAATAGCATAAATTATTATGATATGATAAAATTCAAACATTTTACAAAGTTTAAATGCACAATTTGCTATGTTTGGGAAAAGTTTTGTTTCACTTAGTTGTTAGAACATGCTTCTTGACTGCCGTACATATTGTGATGCCACATTCAAAGTTAGCTGCTGTTGAATGTTAAAATGACAGTTCCACAATAATTATGTAATGTTTGCAGTCCTATAATGAAGTAGTGACTTTTTTGTGGGTGAGCTAAAAATACTGCTTTTATTTTTTGTTAATAAAGTAATGGATTTGAAAAATTATGTTTTAAAACTGAGTTTTATTCTAAATATAATTAGTAAGGTATTAAAGTAATGTATCTTACATGTACCTCTAAACAGTTCTATAGCAGCTATGCTAGAATATGCTGTGCAAAAATATGAGGTTATGATGTAATATTTAAAGTTATTTGCAAGAAAGTATATTTAGTTATTTTTATTGTTTAGTATGTTTAATCAGAGAATCATCAACTTTTGAAAGATTCCATAGTATTTAGAAACTTCAAATTTTTTCATGCTTATGAATTTCTTCTCTTGTTACTCAGAAGCAGTGGAAATGACAACCACAGGGTTTTGTAACCTTCTAGAACCCCCCCTTTTTTTTTATCTATATCTGGATTTTTTACCCATGGGGCTGTGTAAGGCAACAGTGTGCATGATCAAAGAAGCACAAAAGCCACTACAATATGTGTAATTCAGGAAACTTTGCTTGCAGTGTTGTAAAAGGTGACCACGGGCTTAAAACTTATCTTGTTAATTTCCTTATGTGCAATTTACTTCTATATGCTAAGCATAAGGATTTATTGTCACTACAGTGTTAATCAAAGTTATTTGTTATTATGATAGCATTAGAGTAGTTCTTAAAGTGCTGATATAAAGAAATGTTGTTGCTCAGAATGTTGATATAAAGAAGTGCATGGCAATGCATGTTTGAGGTTACTACTTTATACATAGATTTTTTGAAATGTTAAACATGCAAACTTCAAAAAACGTTTTAGAAAACATTTCTTTGGAAAGTTTGATGTCTAGACCTTAAAATCTTCCTCAGTTCATTTCTATAAATATACATATATTTTTATTTAAAAAGTAATTATTTAATGAAGCAAGTTTATATTTTTCAAGTTTTTAAAGGAAGGGAAGGTAGAAATGAACTTGCTGCTGTAGTGAAAGGGATGCATGCTGCAAAAAAAGTTGAAAACACCTATACTATATGCTTGTCAACATCCAGGCCTTTTCTGGGAATTGAATCTGGGCTGTTAAGTATGGCAGTCAGGGTCACTAACCGCTATCCCAATAGGGTGGCGAGAAAAACAGGCATTCGCGATGAGAAAGGCTGAATAAAGAAGTCTGCAGAGATTGATAATTTCCCTAGAATATTGTGTTAGTTTGATTTAATAGCCAGCTGGCAAGCTTTTATAATAGTCTTGCAACTGATAACACCTTATGGTTAATATTTTAATCAAGAAAGTAAATGTGGAGATAAGTAACTTGACTGTGTGGCTAATATTTGTACATATCACATTTCTCCATTCCCATTTTTACTTTCAAACTCTGAAACTTAAGTAAAAAAATAGTCTTTTATATATTAAGAAAATATTAAAGTACCTGTGGCATTCTTAAAACCAATATAGAAATCATAGAAATATGTTCATAAGCTGCTGCTACTTTCTGAAGTTTATTGTTGATTGAAAATTTGGTGATAGTCGCACAGATTAATGACAGCAATTAGAATGCATAAAGGTTCAATGCCTGAGAAAATACATTTTCATAATAAAAAGCCGAATACTTGTAAAAATTAAGGGAATTTATATTACTTTATTAGGCATTATAATTTGCAAGATGTTTGCTATGGAATTAAACTGAGAAGTTTGTATAATATAAATTTTATTTGCCTTTCCGCATGTGAAAGGAAGCTTTTATTTTGTCACTTAAAAATATTTGCATAAGCAGCCATCTGATTGTAACCTAAATAAATTGACCTGCATAATATTTTTCTTTGTTCTTTAAATCAAAAAAGAAATTTAAAAGCATTTTCTATGTAGAATTTAATTTTGGTTCTTATGTTCTACTTGGCAAATGCTTCATTATTTATTTTGGGCACTTATGTAATAGCACAACAAATTTGGTGCTGTTTGGCAGATTTTTATGTAAAAAAAGAATGGTTTATAATTATAAAAGATTATTTATTACATACAAACATTATCACAGACATGTTTTACATCTTAACCGCTTGCCTGATTATTCCGAGTTATCTCGTAGTTTGTATATATAAGTTAATTATTATCCCGTGAAAACTCAGGCGAAGCCGAATTTGTTAGTATGATTTGTTTTATCACGGTTTTACACAGCCTGGCGGAAATGAAAGGAAATATTCAGCTTTGATTGGCAGTTTGCCAAATTTTGCTGGTTGCACGGCTCTTTTGGAGGGACCGGTCACGTGTTTCTCTATAGTATACGTCAGCTTGTGGATTAGTAATGTATAAAGAAAGATGCATGTGTTGAAAAAATAAAATAATGGCAATGATGCAAGATAGCAAAAGCGATGATTTTTCAGAGAGTGATTAATGAAGAGGTGGGGGAAACATTTTTTTTTAAAAATCAAATCCAACGAGACAGTGTACTCTATGCTCCCGTGAAAAAGATTCCAGCTGTAAGCCAGTAAGAAAAGAGACCAGATACCAGTGTAGAATGTCAGGTATCACTTTTGTGTTGACCCTTGATTCAAAAACTATCATACAAAGACTAATATTTAACCTTTTTTAAGGTGAAAGTGCAGAATCGCCTGCTGCTTGGCACGTTTGTTTTTAAGAATTCCACATATGCGGTATCCATGTACACGTCGACCTATTTTCACTTAAAAAATCATCCCAGAATTGCACAAAAATAGCATTGCGCACACTCTTGACTTTATCCATGTACACGTCAACCTATTTTCTTTTAAAAAGTCAAAGAAAATTGAGAAAAATCCAATGCTTCTTACTCTTGTAAAAAGCGCCAAACGAATAAGTGAGCGATTCTGCACTTTAGCGTTTTTTCGTTTGCTCGAGATAACTCGGGATACTAAACTAATATTAAACTAAATGCTTTTATACCTTCAAAAAATTTAAAATCCAACTTAAAACCTACATATTTCGATTTGTTTCATTTCATTGTATTTAATAATAAAATAAAAAATGTGATGATTTTTTGCAATTTTTTTTCAAAAACATTTGTAAGGGAAGTGGTTAACTAGTTATTTATCTCTTAAAAGCATTCAGTAAACCTACTTAGCTGTTTTTTCTTTTATTCTGATGGAACTTTCACGGTGCTTTCTTGAAGAGGCTCAAAGTAGTTTTTCCCTTTAGTGGTTTTGCAAGAAAAACCATATTTCTGTGAAAATTTTGTTGCAATTTCTTCCCATACAGGCAGATCCCACAAGCAAATATTTTAAAATTGAGTTTTAGACAGAAAAATGGTTTCATTATTTTCATTCATAAAATAATAATCTAAAAATTTTTCTGTTAATTGCAGTATTTGTACACCAAATGCAAGATGGAATCATAAAGCGTCTTTAAAATACTTCTTGTATTTTGCTTCTTTAGAGAAAAAAGTTAAATATACATATAGAGAGAACAAGAGCAAGTCATTGATAAATGTGTATCATTTTAAGGATAAGGTCATTTAAGTTACACAAAATTTAGTGGGTTGTACTTAACTTGATGCTTAGATTGCTATTGCTGTTGGTAGAGCTTTAAATATTTATCCATTATCATTGCTTCTGAATTTAGGTCGGCACAATAAAATACCTTTGAGCTTTCAGCATGTACTCTTTTTTTCAGGTGAGTTCAGTCTTTTTTTAAACTTTTTACTTTAATTCAAAATATAATTTTTCGTTTTATAAATTCTAGAAGTATAGTTAAATGAAAGCTGCAATAAAAGAAATATAATTTTTCATAAAAGTATTTGTCATTTGATAATTTTATACCACTTTATTAGAATATGTTTTAAGTTTATATTTTTAATCTAAAATATATTTTTGATTTCTGTTTAATTGTTATCTGCTGTAAATTTAATTTTCTTTTGCAAAAGAATAAAGTTAATGATTTAATACTAAATTATTTTCTTAATGTCTTGGATTATTAAAATTGCATAATTTTTTTTTAAAAAAAGGCAACAGCTCTGTATTATTAACCCAGAAGGGCTATTAGTCTCAGAACGACATTTTGCGTTGAATCGCTGTAAAAGTCTGAATCACTTTTCAAATATTGTCACCAAATTTTATCACCCTGTATTATATATAAAGAAACTAAATAATGAAAAATCTACATGAATGCATATATATTTTTCGCACTGTGAAAAAAGTACGGTACCTAGAGTCATCAAATTTTGAATAACATAGTCATGCATCCAACATAGATACCTGAAAGCCCAAATTTGGAATTTGTTTTATCGTCTGTTTCATATTTTGTAAAACTTTAACAAATTTTTTATTGAAAAACTCGACAATTTCAAAGCAAGCAGTGGCAACACTGTGGAGAATTATTTCCAGCATGCGAGACTGTCTGCCGGAAATTCTAAAAATACTCTGTTTTAAAATATTTTTAGCATGATGTGATGTTAGCCCAAATGCTTTCGAAACATGTCTGTAAATGAAAATAATGCCTGTTTTGGCGTAATATAAAATCTGAAAGTTTTCAGATTTTGTATTTATTTATTTATTTTACTTTATTTTATATTTTATATCATGTAAAGAGCATCATTTTTTGTATAACAAGCTTGAATATGTATGCACACGCAGATTATGCTGTATAATGGTTGTGCCTCAAGTTTGTATCCCCAGAGGACTTCCATTTGTAAAAGTATGATTTTTATCTCGTCTTTGGCCTAAACAGGGCTGTTTGAATCACATGAACTAGAACTGCTGATTATTGTTATTATTCTTCGAATAAACTAGTTATTTCATAATTTGTTTTAAACCTTCAGTGATAGTGAGATTAAGCAATTATTTCTTCCTAAATATGCATGATATCTGCGAGTCGTAAAAATTTGTAATGTGAGTTGTATTTATTTCTGCTCACTGCAATGTGTAACTGGAATACGAGCTCATCTCATTGATGACTATCAAAAGATTATAAATGTCAAGAGCTGAGGGGAAGGAAGAAAAGGCGACTTCCATTTCCTACGAAATTAATTTGACAGTATAACTTCCATTTAACTATGCTAAATACATAGTGAGAGGTGAATTAGCTTGAATTGTTTCCTATTTTGAAAGATTCCATGGGCAGAAGTGTTAAAATTTCAGTGATGATACCATTTTTTTATAATTTTCAAACTATTGAAGGTTGTAGTTTGAAATAAAAAAGAGAAAAAAAAAAGAAAAAAAAAAAAAAAAACGATAATTTTGAGTAAATGCATAAAACTGGTATATTTCAACACTGCACAAAAACAGATAACACCTTTTTATGGAAAAAAAAAAAAAAAAAAACAGTTAGTTAGGAGGGCAATATCACATAAAACGATATCTCAATCTTTTTTATGTAATTTTTTGTGAGACTGTAATAGCAACAGTACTAATTAAAATTGACTGTTGTATTGCATACTTTATCAGTTCTAATCAAGACCAGTTAAAACCTTATACAAAAACTTCATAATTGGTAAAATGTGTATGCAAATAACCTTTATGAATTTTTTAACTAGAGATATTTATAGCCATTGTTCAACCTATCTAAAATTTATATTTCATCAAAATCCCTTTCTAAAGTCAATGTATTTTTCATAAATTGTAAATGGAAACGAATTACTAATCAGGACATTTTAAAACTTTGAACAATATAAGATTGAGATTTTGCAGAATATGATAGGTTTTTTTAGTATATTAATAATTTTTCCAAGAATGCCATCATGTGTGTATATGTTTAGTTTTTTTAAAATAAAATTATCTTATAAATTTAAAAAAATCAAAATATGGTGGAGGACTATAGAATTTTCCAACAAAAAGAAAAAAGTGCATCTACGTATCATGAAATCAGACTAGACTGTATAGGCCATTATCCTTAATTTAATAATTAATTAAATAATTTTCTGTCTCTTTAAAAAATTCACTCCTGAAAACAGTCTTAATCATAATTTTCTACATATAAAATTATTTTAATTAACTTTCTTATTTGTAAATTGATTATTATATTTCCTCAGTTTACACAGATAAATTCATAACAATTAGTGTATTAGAAATATTTTGTAAATAAACAACTTGAATGTTTTAAGAAGGTTATTGAATTTTATTGATTTCATCCTTGAGAAGTGCAATCTTTTATCAGATTCCCTTTCTGTAGAGGTAGCTATGGTTTATCATTCACAGCTTGTAGTTTATAAAATCAGTATTGAGTGACTATACGTTGTCAGAAGTTTATTTTCATACATGAGAAATCTAAGATTCATAAAATATCAATTATGTACTAACTGTGCAGAAAAATCATGCTTAAAGTAATTGATTAATCCACCCATGAATGCACACTAAGCAAAACTGCATTAAGTGAGTACATTAAACAAAAGGAATTTATAAGACTTTATCTCTTAGTGTAAATATGTGTATGGGGGAGTACAAGAGGTAAAAAATCATCTGAGTTAAAAAATATCTTTAAATTTTAAATAGTTGGAGTAATTTTTTTCAAAAAGGAAAATAACTTTAAAATGTTTAAATAATACTTGAATTTTACATCTTTTCATGTAGTTTGTGATAGTGATTGCTCTATTAATATCTTGTTACACATCCATACTTCCATATTCACTTTCTTGCTTTCTGAGATAAGCATCTTACTAAATTTTATTAGTTTTAGATTGAAAACTAAATAAAAAAATTCTGATAAATGTAATTTTTTCCTTCTAATTAGAATTTTCTTGGATGATTGGAGCCTCTTTTGCTTATGTTTAAGTTATTGTAGAAAGTGGAGTTTTATCATTCTTAGGTATATGTTATTTTGTTTAACAAACTGTAAAGTAAAATTTACTAATCATTGGAGTTAAACTAATTTAAAATGAGCAATGTTTTAACATTTTGTTGAAATCTGACTATTATGTGTTATGGATACTGACACCTGCACACCTGCAGAGCTTTAAGTTTTTACTTCTTTTTAATAATATTCCAAGCTTTTAAACAAAATTTATCATTATAAGATTGGTAGCAAAGTATTTCACATAAGGTAAAATGTGACGTGATCTCTGAAATTTTATGTGGGATATAATATTGACTCATTTATTAATACTTATTTATATTTATCATGTATATCGAATTCATGGTAAGTATGTGTGTACTTTGATTATAGAACTGCATAGATTATGATGAATTATATGACATGAAATGACTTTCCTTTGATTACTACCAACTGAAAAAGAAAAGTGTTCTAATAAAATTAGTTAAATGGAACAAAATGCTGAAGTATATCTGACAGATATTTTTATTATGATAGTATTTCACTTATTAACGTAACTAATACTAATGTTTCAGTTTTAGTTACAGTTATTTTTCATGGACCAATTCCAAAATCTGAATTCTTTTAAAATAGTTGATACTTGCATCGTAATCAGTATCAGAATCTACTTCACATTTAATGTGTGAGTCACCAGAATATTTTTATTATTCTTTTCTTTCTCTTCTAAACCACCAAGAATATAGTGTATTTTTTTCAATCATATTTTTGAATGAACAAAATGCATTAAAGGAAACCATGTGGTGCAATGGGGAAAAGTGTCAGAAAATTTATTAAAAACCTATGATTTTAAGATGTATCCTTTATTTAGGGATATTTAAGTACTTATGTATTATCCCACTAACCATGAAAGTTGGTAGAAAACCTGCCAGAGTTGCTCCAAGCATTCCTACAGAATTGAGTCAGTGTTCAAATTGTTTCATTTTTGTATTTTAAAAAGGGACTTTCATTGATTTCTTATGTTTAGTTAGACTTCTCGATTTTACTGGAAACTTTGTTTAAAATGCTGGGAGTAAAACTTAGCTGTAGGTAATTATTCCAATCTATTACTTTTTTGTCAGCCATATTCATCTTACTATGTTGTATCCATTAATTAATACACATGATTTTTATTATACTAAGATCCCATAACTTTGAAAATAATCCACTGCTTGCTGTTCTTTACAAAGCAAATGCAAAAAACAAGTACAGCACTAACAGTAATTTATATCATTGTTCATAAAAACAAAATGTAGCTTATCGAAAATCAGTCAGAGTTGCATCATGCTTATCCACGCTTAGTGCTAAATCATATTGTTTGGTAACAATTTCACAAATGGGATAATATGCAACTACCGATATTTATATTGAAAGAGATTCTATTTTAAAATCAAAGAAATAAAATTGAAGTGTAGCAAAATGATTGATAAATATTTTCAGATAAAATCAGCATCCAGTTTGTTTCCAGTTATAATGGGCATTTATTTAATTGTTTCTTATTTTTAGAATTTCGTGAGAAAAGAGTGAGTGTTTTGATTTTGTAATAATATAAGTTGAAAAAGTTTGCCAAACTGATTTGATAGTGCTGATATGAAAAAGTATTTATCTTTTTTTAATTAAGCCATCAAACTTTTAAGACAGTAGAAATGCATAATCAAATATTGTTAGTTAAATGTGTTTATCTGAATCAAAATTACTCTTAAAAAAATCTGAAAATGTAGTAGTTGTCAGTTTGAAATGTAGTAATTGTCAGTTTATCAATTATAGGTTTGAGAGGTGCAATGGCTTTTGCATTAGCCATTCGTAATACATTGTCTGATCAGAGACATCTTATGTTGACAACCACATCAGTTATAGCAATCGTAACTGTTATTGTATGTGGAGGTCTTTCAACACAGCTGTTGGCATGGTTAGGTATTCCGTAAGTTATTATGTTTCTTTATTGGGATTTTACTTTAAGTTAATTCTAAATTGTCTTACAAATGTGCTGAAAATTATTAAATTTGGGCAAAGTTTTTCATCATCTAGAGTAGGATTTGAAATCTAATGTTTTAATTGGTACTTTTAGAGTTGGTGTTGAAGAAGATCATGAAATGCTACAGTTTGGAAGTTTAAGAACGGTAAGTTAACTGAACTGTAGAGTAAATTACAGAATAATTGTGTCTTTGTTAATCTTTAGGTAATATTAATAATTCTTATTTTGAGGTTTAACAGCTTTTTAAGAGCAGTAGTTAATAAATTAATTTTTAGTTACTACTGATCTATTTGATGACCATAATTATTTAAGTGCTATTTTTTTGTTTGCTTTTATTGTGTTTGGTACATGCAGAGTAGTACGGTCAGAATAAAAATACTAACTGAATGAATTTCAAAGACTTTGGGGGAGGATTTTTATTTATTATACAGTGTAATGAATGTTTAATGTGATCTAAAGCATATTCTTTTAAAATTTGAAATCAAATTATGATAAAAATGTACTTTTTTATATACTAAATTCCAAGAGACCATAATAATTTTGATTTCATCAACTCCTTCAGCTATACAACCTCACCCTTTTTAAGATTCCTTTCAGGAAAAGGATTTAGAAAGTGTTTGCACACTCTTAACTCGAAGAGGTAATTCTCCTTCCACTTTTTTCGAATTCGTTTCCAAAGGTTAGTTTGATACAGTTTTCTCCTACTTAAAGTTTACCTAATGGTTCATTACTAAAAAGGTCGACAAAATGCAAAGGATAAGGAACATTGCCTTGCCCTGGAAACAAGAAATGGGCAGGTGTGAAAGCTCATGGCTCTTTTATTTCATTGTGGATATAAGTAAAAGGTCTGTCATTTAGAACTAACTCAATGTCTGACAGAATAGTTATTTCTTCAAAGTTAAGAAGAGCCCTTCCAAGAATTTTTCGTAAAGGTTCTTTGATGCTTTTCTTGAGCCTTTCATAAAACCCTCCCCAGCAAGGCGCATGGCAATATATATTTATTGCCAAGTTATGCCATTAATTGATATGAAATCTTTTAATTTTGAATCTATTATAATTTTTGCAAATTCTTTCAGAATTTCGTTAGTGCCTCTGAAGCTCTTAACATTGTCGGAAATTATAACTTTGCAAGTTCCTTTCGTAGCCCAAAATCTCCTCGATGACAAAATAAAATTTTTTGTTGACATATTTGTGATTAATTCAATGCGCACAGCTCTCACGATGCTTGTAAATAATGCTATGTAAGCTTTTTGAGGCATATCGTTTCATGAGGCATATCCTGATTTTATTAAAACTGGGCTAGTAAAATCATTCTAGTTACAGTAAAAGGGGGGTTTCAGTAATTCTGTGTTTGGGTAGTTAGTTATTTGTTTATCTGGTTTCAAATTATATTTTCGACAAATTAAGCAGTTGCCTGATACTCTTTTTACAATTTGTCTATCTTTGTTTAATCCTAAATCTAGACCTAATGTTGGTGAGCGTAAAAGAACTCCGCCATGAAAAATTGTATTATGCTCTCAAATAATAATTAACTGTAAATTTAGACTGCTTAGGAAGAAGCATAGGGTGAAACTCATCCTTTGTAAATGCTGCTTCTTCTAATCTTCCTTTTATGCACAACACACCACTACTGTCAAGAAATAGGGCTAAATTCCAAAGTGGAGATTCTTTAGTAATCAACTTGACCATTTTTGATGTTCCGTAATGCTAAGTTAAATTCCATGTTCAAAATGCACTTCAAAATATTTCAATATTTTGAAAATTCAAAATATTGAAACTTCAAAAACTTCAAAATATTTTCTTGTGCTGTTGGCAGTGGCACAAGATTAAAATAGCAGATTTATGGTAGACACTATTCAGCTGTTGATCTATAAACTAACAAGGATTGTTTACTAATACCTAAATATCACAGGATATACATGCAGATCAAAATGATTTTAGGCTTGTTGATATTATAGAAATAATGTAGAAGAAAATGAAACTATGGTATTTATTTTAAATATACAGTATCCCCCATTTACTAAAATCACTTCCATACTAAACGTATTTTAATTTAAGTAGTTGAGTTTAATAAACAACAATTAGTGTATCACAAACAGGGAAGTAATGTTAAATGTTTCAAATAAAATTATAACTAAAAATTAATTAATTATAAAATGATAATTATTATTAAAATAAAACTATCAACTCAATTTTGAAATTTATTTTAAAATTTTTCTAAAAATATTTTTGTAATTGCATTCTTGATGAAATTTTATCTCTTATTAACAGCTAGTTTATATGTATTTGTAACAATGTTTTTTCAACTGCATTCTCCATTTTGTAAGAATTTTTCTGATAGCTTTTTTATCAGCATCTTTCAGTTTAAGAATTTTTCTTAGAATTTGCAGTGCTTTTCTAAATTTGATTGACGGCGGCATGTCCTCTCTTTCACTATCAGTTTTCACAGTTCTTTAAACACTTCCAATTTTTATGCATCTTGTCGCAATATTGTTGTGAATTGAAAAACATTCTAAAAATGAATTCTCCCTCGGAGATATCTGAAACATTAGCTATAGTTTGCAATTGTCTCCAAGACTTCTACGTAAAAGCTACATTTTTGAAAACAATTTTAAATGATTTTAAGAAATTTAATCTCTCATTGACTGTAATATACACCCTCTAGCAGAGATATCAACTTACTTATCTCTTTTGAAGTCTCGGCATTTTCATAAAATTCAGTTCTTTTCATCAGTTATTCGATACCTTTTCTAAAATTCGAAAGCTTTTATAATACCTTAAAATAAAAGGGTGAATGTTAGAAATTGTGTTTGCAAGAAGAGACACTAATGTTTTTCAGAAGAAAAATGTGTGTGCAGTCCCCCTCCCCATTTTTTAGTTTGCTGTCCCATTTCAAAAGAAAATCAGTATAAATACTATTTGCCATTCATGAGTTCTTGTTGTGATAAGTCAGAAGTACTTTCTTGACCCCTTTCAAAAATTGAAGTTTTCTGAATGTGTCAATAACCAGTACTGTCATTGTAGTTGTTGGATCCATACTGCACATTAATGAAACAGTAACTTATTCCTTCAGTTTCTTAAACCAACTGTTGTTTCATTTTTAAATATTAATGTGTGTTCTGGCAATGTTCTGTAATGATGTCCAGTTTTGTTTGTAATATAACTTTTAAGTGCTGTGTATTCGTTAGCAGCCCAAGTAAAACGTCTTTTATACAGTTTTTGCCCAAATATCAGCTGCAGGATGATCTGCTTTTTCCTTCTCATGATGTAATTTATGATCATTAATTTGGGGTTTCTCTTTTTGTAGCTCATGAGCCATATGTCGATTGACATAAAATTCTGTCCTAGCAATTAGTGAAAAAACGTTCTGGGAACAGAAACATTCTTTAGTTTTATATCTTGAAACCATTCTCAAAAAGTAATTTTAACGCCTCTCGTTTTTTTTTCACTTCCTTAATATGTTTGCATTTTTAGTAGTTCTTCATCAATCATAATTCTTTGTTTAAATAAAATTCACAATGCGGTTTGGGAAATTCACAACTTGAATGTAGTTTTTCTTTAACTGCAATTGCCAAGAACATTAAAATCTTTTAGCAATTAATTCTTTTCTCTCATGCTTCTCTTTTTACTTGGCATTTTCACAAGTTAAGCTCACAACAAATCTTTTAAAATGTTTTGTCTAGTGATTTATTCAAATTCTCACAGAAAAGTGTCTCTTAGGTGCAGGAACAGGGAAGTAGGACATTTTTGGTCAAATCCATTTTATTGAAACTTTAAATGAAACTAAATGATAAAGCCACAGTCTGCAGTATGTTAAATGGATAAACTACGAAAAGCTTGATATGTACAATTGGGATATTCTGGCACTGAAGAATGAGTCTGAGTTTAATAAGTGGCAGAGATGAGGTTAAGAAATGGCAGTTTTTGTATGGCTTAGTATAAATTTGTTTTGGTTCCTTGAAATTCAAACATAACAAATAGCTGTGTTTTTTAATCATTGAGTTTAATAAGCGGTAGGTGCTGTATTATAAACACTTCATTTTCTTTAAATAAAAACAATTAAATTGTATATTATATGGAAAGCGTTTGATTATGTTGATATAAATTTAGGAAAGTCGGTTTTTATACATGGCCAGTTATAAAATAGAATACAAAATTTCATATATTATTACAGCAAATAAAGTTTTCTTCTTTAGCAGTAGGTCATATCCTAAACACGTCCCCCCCCTTTTTTTTTCCAACCTGCTGTGATTAATTATGGACATTGTTTTTGCTGTTACACCAGATAATCATGAAGTCACTTGTATTTTCAAATGATATTTAGACTATATAGTTTTAGAATCAGAGTATTTTTGGTAATTATGCAATGTGTAATCTACCACTTTTAGTTATTTATTTTTTAGATAGCTCCATTAAAATTAGCTGTTGTTTTAATCATTTCTTTTCCTACCATTTTATCACTTGTTTGAATTTAAAAATAACATTTAGTGGGACCATCTAAAAGTAAATATCTAGCTAAAAGCAGTAGATTGCATGCTACAAATAATTACCATACATTCTATAACACTTAGACCATATTGTTTTAGAAATGTACCCATTAATGTGCTGATTATATGAAAGGAAGGACATTTAAAAGGTACTATGCAACTCACTGTAACACTTAAATGAAGACAAAATTTGGAAGCATGCGAGATTAATTAATGTTTGTATATCAGTAAAAGATCAGTATCCGATGCTAAATGGTAATAATCTTCGATGAAGCATCATTCCATTTGTGTGAAGCTATAGTAAAAAGCAAATAGTAAGTGAAAAGGGTAGAGCAGGAAAAAGTAGCTATATCCAATATGATTCCAAAATTTGAAGGGATCTAAAGTGAACAACATGCTCAACAGATTTGTTTATACTATAAAAATAACACTGAAGAAAATTAAATTGTGGTATTTTTTTCAAATTTTCAAAGTATCTATTTTAAATATGTATAAAACAATTTAATTTACTTCAAACCAAAAAAATTTTATGCTTTTCAACTGCCTAATAAAATAGTTTTAAATTAAAAAAAAGAAGGGTAAAAAATTTGATTATGTTGGTAAAAATTTAGAAAAAGCAGTTTTTACACATGCCCAATTATACGTGATAAAATATAATTTCGTATCGTAGATTTTTCCATTTATTGAAATGATAAATCATCAGATTTTGTTTACAAATGATCAACTGAAAGTGATATCTTACTACATTGCTGTTTAAAACATGGAATCAGAAGGAGGTCCTGTGCTTGATATATCAGATTTTCCTTTCTGTAGTAAGCTTGTTAATTGTGTGAGTAATTGTTATGGATGCATAAAACTATGAATGCTGTTTTCTGGTTTAAAAAATTAAATTGGATGTTGTGAATTCTTAAATTTCTAACAATAGACTAAACATTTTTTAATGGAATATATTGTAACCATTGTTCTTTTCTAAATTTCCATGAAAATAAAACTTCTATAAAATAAAATAATAAAAACAAAAAAGAATTTTTCACACTGCATAATTAAGACAGAAAATTAATAAAAGTGATATTTAACATAAGGCATAATAAATTTTCTGTAGTTTAAAATTTCACATATTTGTTTTAGTAAGTCATGTTTTTATTTAATGAGAATAAACATAATGTATTAAATATTTGCATCCATTCCCTTTGTTTGCCAGATTCTTGTTTATTTACCTGTTGTTGTAGTTCCTTGTAGTACTATTATTGTAACTTCAGTGAATTATTTAATTTTTTTCTTTTGAAAACTTTTTGTTTAACCTTGCATGCCTGGTGCTTCTGTACTGTGTATTTTATTTTCTGTTCATCTTGCTGCTTTGATGATTGCTTTACCATTTAACCTTTAGATTGATTTGTGCTTTTGCATGTTTTTAGATGTATAATACAATAGAAACAGACACGGTAAGCTATGTAACCATTCTCCTTTAGTTGCAAGTAATATTTCTGTTTAAAAAAAATATTTAAATAAAACAAGAGATCAATGCATTAATTTGTAATTTATTTAAATTTATAATGAGATGTTTAATTTAATATTTTATGTTTAATGCTTTCATGTACCAGCTTTTTTACAAAATATTTTGATATTAAATGCATTACTTGAATCCAGCCATTTTAAGTGATTGCTGAAAAAGTGATTGTGTGCAAAATTAATGATAATTTGCTGAAAAAGTGATTGTGTGCAAAATTAATGATAATAAAAACAATTATTTCTGTGTTTAACTTTAGGAACACGAAAGTAGAAAATATTGTCTTTCAGAAGATACACATATATATATGCAACACTTCTTGGAAAATATTAATTTCATAATATAAATCACAGATTATTAAAAGCCTAAAATATAATCAAAATTATAAGTAAAACAATTTTCTTAAAATGAGATATGAATGCAGACTATACTAACCAATAAAAGAATATTTCTTTTATTCATTATGATGTGAAAAATTTAGAACTACAATAGATGTCCTCTTAACTGGTTTTGGTTTAATTGGTCATGGTTTAACTGACTACTAAATTGTGAAAATGACTCTGAGCATCTGTGACAAAATCTTTGTATATTGTTTTTGTGATTTGTTAAAAACTGTGTTCATTTTAGCAGTGGGTGTATTTTTGTGTACCTAGATCTTTACTGTTGCTTTGTGGGAGCAGTGTAAATAGTTATTTCTATCCAGTTACTGTAATTTAATGTTAGGAAAAGAAATATCATTGTTAAAATAAACAAAAAATTAAAATGTGCCTCTAGCAACAATGGTAGTAAAAATTAGAATAAGAAAAATTACACTGAAAATCACTTAGGGTAAAGGAATGGAAGTTTCACAATTCAAGTTTTGCTAACTGAAACAATTTCATTTGTTGCTCTAAAATATTTACATGAAGGTAAAGCAAAAAAGCAAATATCACATGAACTTTGTGTGGTAATGGGTATGTTAGATTATTGGTGCTGAAGTTGTAAATCCATTCAGCAGTTTTGTATATGAATTGGAGAAAACACTTTTATCACATTGTATGTCTGGAAAACATAAATGAGTTGGTTAAAGATGCTTTGTGGTTGTGGTTTCAAAACAAGTGGTATAATTTAATAAGTGGGCCAAGTTTGAACGAGAAGGCTTTTAAATTGCGTGCAAAATTGAAAATGGAAATGGTATTTCAGCAAATAACAAATGGTTGTACCGTTAGAAAAAATACCATGGAGTTTCTTTTAATATAGTTGCCCACTGTTACAGTTTCTCAGGGAGATTCCTGGTTTTTCATTCTAGTCTCCTGGTAGATCATCAAATCTTTTTAATTTTTAGCCTACGGAAAATGTTTTTGAGCAACAAATGAAATTGTTTCAGTTAGCAAAACTTGAATTGTGAAACTTCCATTCCTTTACCCTAAGTGATTTTCAGTGTAATTTTTCTTATTTATTTTATTCAATTCTTATTTGATTTTAATCATCTTAATCTACTGTAGCTATTTGTAAAAATTTTTATGACTATTTTAGCCAATGTTTAATCAATTAATAATTTTATTTAATTTTGTTTTCCAAGGCATGCTTTAAAGTAAGTACCATTTAGGAATAAAAAAAAAAAAGTAGAATTTTCTTACCAATTTTATTTTTATATGAAAACCTGCATCTCAGTGTATTTTTCAGTATAATTTCTGCCAAATTTAAAGCACTTATCATATTGTAAAAATAAGTTTTGAATCCCCTCTTCACAGAGGTCTGCCACCTGATTTGACACCCATTGCAAAATGGTTGTTTTGACCTAATCATTGTGATTTAGGTGAAGACCGTTCAGATACTTTTTCTAATGCAGAAACAGGTGGTTGTCACTGGGAACTAAATTAAAACTGTGCAGAGGGTGATCTAGTTGTTCCCAGTGAAATGATAGTATGAAGGCATTGTCGTGAAGCAAACTGATCTTTTCTCAACATGCCACAAGTGCGAGACAGTTTAAGGTCTGGTAATACATCGTAGAAGTTATTGTATCACCACAAGGCAGAAAATCCACAAGCAACACCGCATTCCTGTCCTAGAACACAGTATACATGATTTTCTGAACTGAAACTGTTTGTTTGAACTCTACATTCTTGAATGATTATGAAAACCGCCATTCCAAAGATTGCTGCTTCAGTCCTAGCGTAAGTAGGCCACCCAGGTTTTGTTGCCTGTGACAATTTGGCTTAAAAATTCATTACCTTCCTCACCATACTGTTGAAGGGAAGTTCAAGCATTACCTAAACATTTGGTTTTGGGGACATCCGTCAAAATTTTTCCTGCCCAGCTTGTGCAGTTTTCAATAATTTAAGAATTAGCTCACAATTTCGTAAAGAACACTGCATGGTAACCCCAGGAAAGTCATCAAATAATGACAAAATCATAAACAATCTTCTGTTTCACTCGTCAATTTTCTGCACCAAATCTTTAGTAATAAGAGAAGATCACCCACTTTGTTCATGAACTTACTGTACATCAATATATAGTACATTATTAAATTTATCCATACAATAGTATGTGTATTAATTATTGATTTTACTTTTAGTGTATTTAAAAGTACTTTGATGAATAAAAGCTCTCCTTCTGTACTCAGAATTTTCACTGTGTAACAAACCTAAATCATGCATTATGAAGTGAGTTTAAAAGTTAGTTTGAAGTTCCTTAGAACCTTTTTTTTTGGGGGGGGGAGAATTTTTTTTTCTTTTGGGGACCTTTTTTGAGTTTTAGAGCCGTGCATAAAACGCCTGGCAAAACCTAGTTTTTCATATGTCAGGGTTGGCAACTATGCTGTGATGATGAAAAACTATCAGCAACAAAGGTATTTCCAAAAAAATTTCAATATATCTTTAAAGAAAAAGGTTTATAATCAAAGCAGGTCTGTCATATTGAGGACAATGGAGTAACCATTTGAGATAGCATTTCGGACAAATGGGAGTTGAAAGGAATTGTTCCACAGGATGGAGGGTTTTCACCATGAAGCCTAACTTTGGGGGGAAAATGACAAAAAAGTGTAAGTTGTAATGTAATTTTTGGTACCATTTTAGATTATTAATTAAGCTATCACATCTGTTAGCATTTAATAATCTTATCCTTTTACTTTACATGAAAATATATTTTAAAAAAATTACTTATTTTAAGAAATAATTTTCAGAAGCGATATTCAAATTATTCTAAAATTTTAATTGACAAAATACATTAATCAAATATAAAATTAATAAAAAAAGTACAAGAAAGACTATTTACAAGAAGAAGTAACAAAATCTTTCACGAGAAGTAGAAGGCAGAAACTTGATGAGCTCAGTCTTTGACAAAATATCCATATTAAAATCACTCTAATTCATACCACTAATTGGTGCATTTATCATGCAAGTATATCCTTCCTCTGATAAATAAGGCTTGCCATAATAAACTGAAGGCAAGGCTTTCCAAAATAAAAAGGGAATCATACAAAATATATGCAATAAAAGCAATGCAAAGAATAATATTACCCTATTCACTATCCCTAAAAGACCCTACATGGTAGCAAAAAAAAAAAAAAAAAAAAAAAAGTCATAAAAAGATTTCAAAGGGATAACAGAAATGGTAATGTTTATATCACATAGCAAGTTAAAGAGCCGAAATCTGTTTGTTTACATTACGCTTTCCCTCCTGCCCTGCAATAGCTGACAGCAGAGTTGTCCAGAATGTAATGATATTGAAGATCGAGATCCTAAAACTATGTTCAGTTCAAACATAATGGGCACAGGACATCATCTAGTTGTATTTAAAGCCAGCTTAAAACGCTCATACACATCACCCGTCCCTTGAGGCATTCTCCACTGATCCATGGATGATACACTGGTTTTGAGAGACATTTGTAGGGAATGCATACATGGGATGCCTGTCTGGCATGGGTTAAATTTAAAACTTCTATTAAAAAAGAACTTCAGTTATTATTCAAGAAACATCAGATCAGAATTCAAATCAAGCAAAAAGAGAATAATTGTTACTTTCTGTTCTCTTGCTACAGAAAAGAATAAACATCTTTTTTTTTTTTTTTTTTTAAATTTTTGAGACAATAGCTCATGCATTTAACAGTTTGATTGTGTTATCTCCTCCACTGTACTACTGAGTACAAAAATCAGTTTGGATAGAAGTCTGCTTGTTTAAAAATACATGGCATGCTTGAAAATACCAACAAATACAAACAATGCACTATGTCGTTTAAAAAAAACTGTAATATGAATGAAAGAAGGACATAAAAAGTTTTGCCTCGCAATCTTACAAAGCTTTACAGTCTGTGGAGCAAGGTGTTACGAAAAAGCTTTTACAGTCACTACAAGTACAAGTTCTTCTAGAAATCCTTTTCTTGCTGAAGACACTGTACTTAATGCTACTTTAAAGACTGTAAACATTAAAGACATCACCTACATAGTGGTTAAGTCACATCTGTCAAATCTTAGAGTAGAATAATTAAAAAAGGGATACTGCTGATTAAATGGTTCTATTGATGACAAGTGCAGTACGAGTTCTAAAGTTAGTGAAATTAATTAAGCTGTTATTGTCAAGGGCAATAAAGGAAAAAACTAAAACACTGAGGCATAAAAAGAAGACTGTGCTAAAATGAAAGCGGCACTAGAGTTGGCATTCTATTTAAAAAAAAAAAAAGGGAAGAAAAGAAAAAGGCAGTTGTGAAAAAAGCAAAAGAAAATAATTTCTTCTAGAATATAGTGCTTTCCTGCTCTAAATGGTTTTTTTTTTTTTTTTTTTTTTTAAGTTGACATTTGTGCAGCTTAAAAATACGTTAATACAGTAAATATGTGTTTAAGTTATTCTCATCCTTTGAAGTGATGTTTACTGAATTTCGCATAATTTACTTAAACTGGTTAAGAGCTTAATCCCACAGTGGCTGGTTAAGAGGGTGGCACATAGTGGCTTAATCCCAAAATGGCTGGTTAATCACATAGTAGTTACACTATAGTACTTACAAAATATACATATATATATATATTTATTTGGATATCAGGAATGCATCATTTACATATGTATAATTATTAATATTATTGTACTAACAATCTAGTATATAAATCAAATGTTATATAAAAGTTATCACTTGATTCGTAAATTAATAAATAAGCCAATCTTACAAAATTACATTAATCTTACATTAAATCTTGCATTAATGTTTTATACTTTTTTTTGTCTTGAAAAAATTGTGTAAAAAGTCTTGTACACTGTGCAAAAAACAAGGAAGGGGGACAGTTATGTATCTCTCGTTCTACTGGGCCGATTGACGAAATTCAACTTGTGTTATTCATGCCTCAAAAACGTGACTTAGGCTATGTATTAGATTTATATATAGCATTGTTCTAATGTAGGTATTTTGACACAAAAGCGGTCTTTTTCTGAAATGACATGGCATTTTTTTTTCCATATTTCGATTTTATGACTCAAATTTTGCTAAACTCCCAAGTTTTGTAAAAATCGCACAATCAGTTTTTAAAAAATTACCTCTCAAAATTTTAGCTTCTCAGTGTTAATTGAACTTGCTATGTATTTATTAATATCTCATTTTTATGAAACTTGCTGAATTCCTTCTTCCAGAATTCGAAACTTAGTTTCATTCCAAATAAAATGTGCTCATTTTTTACGATTTATTTTTTTAATTTGTATTTTAAAATAATTTTTATAAATTTGAAATATAACCTATAAATTTTGTACCTTCATCTTAAAGTAGATGTATTTTTAAGCATACCTGCAAAAAATTAGAGTTTTATATTCAAAATTTCCTAAGATATGCTTGAATTTACATATTGGCACATTTTGAAATTTGTCATATTTGTTATAAGTGAGTGATAATAATGCCAAATGTGGTTTATGCAATTTGTTAAAATTGTTTGAAAGTATGAACGATAACGTTTTTTCCGATCGTCTACAATGAAAAAAAGGGAAAGGAAAATAGGTTGCTATAAATTAAGAAGTTTGCCAAGTGAATTGGTGCAAACTGAAAAATGCGTCAAGATAAATTCTTGAATTTCTCCATAAAATTCTAAAAAAATTACAGAATTTAATATCTAGGCATACTTTGAGTCATGCAATCGAAATATGGAAAAAAATTGGTTTGTTATTTTAAAAATAGTCCAATTTTATGTCAAAATACCTATGTTAGAACAATGCTATATATAAATCTAATATATATCCTAAATCTCGCATTTGAGTCATTAAAAGCTTAGACTTCTGAATTAGTAACGTAGTTTGAATTTCGTCAATTGGCCCAGTGGACTGGGAGATACAGAACTGTCCCCCCCTTTGTACAATTATGGAATTTAGAAAAGATTGTTTTCCAAATCCCTAGGTAAATGGAGTAAAATTTTGAAGTAAACAATCTCTGACATTCATTCATACTTCCCTCTCCCCATTATCATTATCATTATAATATATGATATCACACACATAATACTAACGTAAAAGTCTTTTAAGCGGCCAAATATCTGACAGACTGCTGAATGTTGGCAGTTTGGCCTGGGTTTGAATTGTTTGTTTTGTTTTTGTATGTGTGTGTGTATAATGTGCATGTGAATCTGTTTCCTTAACATTCCTGCACGAAGGCATCCCTTCATTTAGGCAGATAACCATAATTTGTTTTGATTTTATCAAATAATAAAGTATAGTCATCTAAGTATTCCATCCAGAATATTTTTAAGAAATCTTTTACAAACCTACAAAAAAGGAATTATAACTTATTAAGCATTCAGAATAATTTCTTTCATTGCCAAATAAAGTATATTGCTATGATTTGAGCTTTGTGGTGTGCTTTTGTATAGCAAAATCAATCTTTAAGATATATTTTGTCAATGTTATAAGATTGGTTTTTAAACAGATCATAATTATCAGAGAATTTCCTAAGATTTTCTCCATTGAATCAATCTTTAAAATATATTTTATCAAAGTTATAAAATTGGTTTTTAAACAGATCATCATAATTATCAGAGAATTCCCTAAGATTTTCTCCATTGAATTTAAAATGTTATAATTTGTTGTCATATTTAGGCTAACAAGCTGTAGAATTAAACTTCATATTATTATTTAAAATCCAATAAAATTATAAATGAAGTAATTTTTTTAAAAGATAACTTATTAATTTGTTCACCAAATTAAAGTTTGTTAAATAGATTTGGAAAAAAAAATTAATTCACAAGCTTGACACTGGCCTTCCTGTTGTTACAGAATTATTGCCTAAATGTTGCTTTTTCATTATTCTATTGTATAATTAAAAAAAAATAGTTAAGTAGACTAGCTTCACAATGGTTTTTTGCAAGCACTGGAGAATATTTTCTATTTTTTTATATATTACTGAAAATGCTGCACCAAATATAAATATTTTAAATAATGTCAAAATGTTAAGAAAAATTTATCAAGTTTAAATGATTATAAAATCATACTATTCTGTATATTTTTTTAAAGTATTTTTCCTTGTATTATAATTTACAGATTTAGCTAGGTAAGTACATTTTTGAAATTCATGTTATAAATTAGGTGTGAGGTTTGGGGATGTTTACATAATAAGCATTTCGTGTATTTTTCCTTCTTTATGCCATAAATATGAATTAAACCATGCCTATGTATTATCTTATAAGTGTGCATGAAAGCATGTTTTAATTATGTGCATGTGCAATATATATATTCATAGGTTCGACAATTTTTTATGCATTTTTTCATGATGTAAAATGTTGTAGGGAATTTAATATTTTCTTATTCATTATCATCTTTTGAAGTACAGTTTCCCTTTTTAGTAATGTGTTTATTGATATTTATAGAAACAGCAAGGGGGAAAATATACAAATTTAAAGCAACTTAAAAGAGTTTTAGTCTTTATTCAAATAAAGCAATTTATAAGGCAAACTAAAAACTGAATTAAACACCCTGCTTAAATGATAATATATAAAATGGAGATCAAAAAAGATTTTTAAATGTTAAGAGTAAAAATTGTCAATTGTATGTTATTTTTTAGAAGTTTTTATTTATTTATTCTTAGTAATATTTTCCACAACTATATCTTACATTGATGTTTTAGAGCAGTGATATTCTGCTTTTGCAGTTCCGTCCAATATTTTCGAATGATTAGTTCCTCTAATAAACCAAAAGAAATGAACTGTGTGATATTTTGATGATTTAACATAATACATCTTGTATCATTACGTATTTACTATCATCAGACTATTACATGTAACTTCTTCTATTAAATCTGATAGCAAAATTGTCCTTTCCTAAATTAAAATGTGAATTTAATTCAGCATTGGCCTTGAAAAATATTAATGATACTGGAACAGCAAAATTTTGATGGATAACACACATCTAGTGTATGTAAATTTTAATTATTCCTCTATTATATTTACATCATTTCTTATGAACTGCAACAAATTAATTTGTTTTATCAACCAGTCATCTAATAACTTGCTTAAAAAGTACTTCTGATTTTTCCCCCATTTATGTAGTTCATTTATGATATTCTGCTACTAATTCTTTTCTGCGAAGGTTTTTAGTTTGTTTATTAATGTGGTTCATTACATGGTTTTCTTTAACTAATCCTTTTAGCAAGTTTGGCACTACTGTGCAAAGTTAAAAGCAATTTCTGTAAAGTTTCTGTCTGCTTTGCTACAAGTTACTAGGATTTCTGCTACTAGGTATTGAAATGTTTTTAAAATGTTGCTAGTTTTTCCATCATAAATTAAATTTTGTATGGGGTTAGTCGTGTAACATCCCGCCAAAGTTTTGCCAATCACTCTTGTGGAATTCTCGAGTAACTAACCTCTCTTTATTTATAAAAAAATTTCATCGATTTATATTATTATATTGTTTGGCTGTTCGATTTTTTTCAAACGGTATGGGGACAAAATTCTCGCTGGTAATTGTTCCAGTTTATTGTCTTTTTATTGGCTATATGCAGCCGATCATACTATGTTCGTTACTACACACTTTTTTCATGGAAAGATCCCATAACTGTGAAAATAATTCACTGCTTGTTTTTCTGTAGAAAGCAGGTTCCAAATTGCAGTAATTGTTTTCAAAATATAAGGCAAAATACAATACTGCATTAATGGTTAATTTATATCCTTGTTTACAAAAATGAAAGGTTTTTTATGGAAATTCAGTTAGAGTTACATCAGATACAAAGTTACAGAAGTATCATCAATTACAAAGTGCAGATGCACTGTTACCTCACGCTTATCGATAATTGAAACTAAATCATGCTATTTGGCAATAGTTTCATCATCAACTGAATAATACATAAGCACCTTTTTTTTGTGTGTGTGTGAGTTTGACACTGCTTTCTGGAAGTTAAATAATAATGTTTCTTTAGAGATGTGTCTAATGTCATTATTATTGCTGCATCCGAAAAAAGCATTCATCTCCCAGGAAGATTAATTTTTCCTACTGATATTTTGCTAGGCATTTGTAAGATATTTGACTCCAGTTATTGTAGTTAATCTTATTTTAGTTTATATGATATCTTTTGTCTGCTCAGTAGTTATTCATAATTTTTCCCATTTGAATTGTTTTAAGAATCCAGGGCTGAGTTTATAAATTTTAACTTTCTGGTAGATTTTTAAGGATTAGTGATCATTCATAAAGCTGTTAATAGTGAAAAGAATAGTTGTAACTGACGGAAAGAAATCATTACAAATGATTAAATTAATTCATATGTATTTTAAAATAAGATATAAATTTAAAAAATAGTTTCTTTATTACTAGTACTAACTAGATTATTTGATAGAAAGAAAAATTAACTGATTTGCTTTCCTTTATCTAGACATCCCAAGTAACAACACCGACAGATCTGAGGAGTCCTCCTGCACCCCAAGTGATTAAGACGCCTTATGAGAAAGCTTGGCTGGTAAAGAAGTGGTACAACTTTGATATGCGGTATCCTTTTCTTAACAATTATTATTAGTAGTATATCCTTTAAATAAATAATACTAATATCCATCTTCCATATATGCATATGTTATCAGGTGATATGGATTGATGTAATTAAATGTGGAATGATATTATGAAAACTTAAAATTTCATTATTTTGTATCATGCTAGGTACAGCTTTGAAATTCTTAACAAAAAATTGTGTATGTATAAAATATACTCGATCACCATACTGGAAGCTCATAAAAGCAAAGTGTGTTTTATCTATGACATATTTGCAAATTTCAGAAGCTCATAAAAGCTTCTTAAATTTGCAAATATGTCGTAGATTACTTCAGGGATAATAAACTGCTAGCTGTCCAAAATGCAACACCATGAAGGAAGCATCCAAACAACATAAAACTTGCATCATATGTATACCATGATGGAATATGCAAATGATTACAATTTCAGCACATCCACACATCATGAGGGAGTTCAGCACTCCTTACAATCCCTATATAAAGGGAGGAAAGATTGCTGTTTTGAATAATGAGATTTTTTGTGTGTGCCTTGTAGAAAAACACGAGCATCATTCAAGCACTTGTCCAAGTTCAACTGAGGCAAAATCATTGCATATTGAGACTGTGGATGATCCTTCCAGGTAATTGGTCATCATATCAGACATAACCAAGCAACAGTCATATAAATATGGAATCATTGGATGCTAGAGGGAATGACTGACAGACAGGAGCAATGCAATCACTTCATTGCACCACTCCATGGAAAAATGTGCATATCGTGTGCATGGGAAGACAGGCTTTGATGGAGATCACTGCCATATCCACAATCATATCACAAGAGATGCAGTCTATAATGCAGTAATCGGTATCTGCAGGAACAATTTGACATTTGTTACAATTGTTAACAGTACATTGGACTGACCGCTAGACGTCAGTTGTCACTTATGTTTAAACCTAAGGCATTTGCGTTTGTAATGGCACACTAAGTGGTGGAGATGGACATCCTAATGACATGGTGTGTTTTCAGACGACTCACACTTCTGCTTCCAGTTCCACAATGGTTGGATTAGAGCTTGTAGACATTGTGGAGAGAGGCTGCTCTACTATTTTGTTAAGCATCGTCATACTTGGTGTTATGATGTAAGCTGGTTTTGATATTACTCCCGAACCCCCTAGTATGCATTATTGGTACAATTACCAGCCAGCACTCTGAGGTATTTTTCCCTCTTCTCCATCCTTACCTTCAAGGTTTGCCTGCAGCCACATTTAAGCAGGACAATGCATGACCACACCGTTGCATGCAATATTCAAGTTTTCTTCTTAGCCTGGCATATTGCATTGTTAGCCTGGCTTGCATGTTCTCCAGATCTATCACCCATTGAATATGTCTCGGAATGATTGGAGAATACCTAGCATGGCATACCACACCAGATAAACTTTGTATGTAGGCAGCATGGGCTACCATTCCCAAACAACACATCCAAAGCCTTTTCCACTCAGTGCCACAGTACATAGCGGCAGTCATTGATAAATGTGGAGGCAACACTCATTACTGATTTTCTTGACTCCCTCACTTCAGAGAAGGTTGTATTTCAGATCAATTAACATCGATACTGCATGTAATCTCTGAAATAAATTTGGCTTAAGTATCTCTTGTCCCCCCCCCCCCCGTGCATTTTGGATGACCAAATAAGAAGAAAAGGAGGGGAAAAAAAATATTGTTTTGTATTTATCCATGATATATTTTTGTCTAAGAGAGGATCAATTTTTCTTTGTTTCTGTTTATTTAATCCATTTATATTGATTTTATATATTTTTAGTATAAAATAAATTAGAGATTGTAGAGATAATTTTAGCCTTTCAAGACGAATTTTAATTTCTTTTTAATAAATGTATTTGTGTTGATTTTATATATTTTTATTATAAAATAAAATGAAATTCTCTATTAATGGGCGTAATAATGAATGTATAAAGTAGGTATATTGACCGCTATTCCTGAATCTGAAAGTTAAATTTTTTTCTGTACATAAAACTTTTGTGTAAAATAACAATATACATAAATATTAACAGGACTAATATTAGTCATCATACACATAATTTTATAATATAGTATTGACCCAAAAAAAGTGAAAAGAAAACATTTTAATTCTAAAATTGTAAGCAAAGTTTTATTCATTTCTCTAATAATGACTGGAAAAGTTCCTCTGCTTGATTGTAACCAATGTTTATATCTCAAAGGATTGTAACCAATGTTTATATCTCAAAGTAAATACTATATTTTGTGTATATAAAAAAAGTATTAACTTAAAGCTAAATCGATTTATTTTCTGATATATTTAGGTCTCCTTTTTGTGTTTACTGTATGTCATATATCTTATAACATTTCTGTTATGCATATGTTGCATGTTCTCTGTATTGTCACAATTAAAATTTTCCTTAAATATTCAAATAGTTATATGAAACCGCTGTTAACGCATAGTCGTCCAACTCTTATGGAAACTTTGCCCTCTTTTTGCCATTCTGTTGCTAGAGTTCTTACCAGCACACAACAACTTTCTAATGTAGGATTTTTCATCAAATTATAGTTTTATTATTTCATGTTTCTTTAAAATATTTGTAAAATGCAGGGATGTTTGTGCTCCCGGGATTTTTAACTTCGATACCTGGAAATTCTGGGGATCGTCGTTCAAAAGGAAGTAGAAATAATAATGAATTATTTATTTTGATCTGGGTAATTTTGTTTGCTTTGAAAGCAGAAAACGCAAGGTCAGTGTGTGTGTGGTGAAAACTTTTCCTTTCTTTCTCCAAAGGCAGTGATAATGCGTGAAAAGGGGGAAAAAACTTCTTTTTTGTTCTTTCCTTATTGCGAGTTATGACTCATTCCCCCGGTTCTTGGACATTCTCTTCTGGATTCTTTTCGGCAAGTAGGCGCGGCAGAAAAAAAAGGGAGAGACTTCGTTCGACCAGATGTGCGATCATGTGACTCTGGATTCAAAGGTCTTATCTCTCCTGGCGTGGCGCCAATAAGTAGAGAAGGGGAATTTTTCGCCGTATTAGCTATTTGTCATTGATCGCTTCTCAACTTTTTTTTCTCCGCTGTGTAAAATTTTTGTTTCATTTATTGATGCACGTGTAAATTGTTCGTTTCGTTTATTGAAATATTTTTTTATTTATGTACGCAAGAGAATTTCACTATGAAATTTCTCGATATAAATAGTTATATTATACAATTAGAAGAAGGTGTCCGGAATGCATTTAGGTGGAATTGGATTGAACGGAGAGATGGTAATGGGAATACCATCAGCACATGGTGCAAGAAAATAAATGTTGCTGGACAAGCATATTGTGTTTTTTTTGGTACTCACTGCTGAAGTATGGTGGGGAAGGATTCAAGGCTTTCACAAATCATTCTAAAATTGTGACGCACATAAAATATTCAAAGTGCAGTAGACATTCAATGACTTCAAGTAATTATGTTAATTAAAAAAAATACTGATGACTTACTGGAGACTGATGCTCGGCCATTGGATATAGTGACAAGAAAAGCACGCCAAGAGGTATTAATAACTTTGTTTATCACCGAGAATTCTCTTTCTTTCAATGTAGCTCCCAATTTAATTGAACTCTGCAAACACTTGAGCCGCGATCAGATGGCACTAAACTCGTTGGAAATGTCCAGGACTACTGCATGTTATAAGATGAAATATGAGCTCGCAAAAACTATTAAGGAAAATATCATTAAAACTTTAAAGGAGACTCCATTTTCTCTAAATTTGGATGAAAGTACTAGAAATGCTCAAGAAAGTATACTGGCAATATTGGTGCAGTTTTATGACAACAATCAAAATGAAGTTGTAGTTCATCATTTTGCATATCTAAAGATGGAATCTTGCAATTCAGAAGCTGTTTTTAAAGCAGTTGTTAATACTATTGAAGATAACAATATTCCATGGGCAAACTTAATTAGTGTATTAATGGACTCATGTAACACTTATGCATGGAAAAAAAAGGGTGTTGAAACCAGACTACGATCAAACAAAGCACCCCACTTATTAGATATTGATGGTGACACATGTCACACAGCTAATAACTGTGCAAAAAAATTTGCTTCATGTTTTGATAGATACTTAGAAGATTTGTTTGATGACATCTATTTTGATATGAAAAGCTGCAGTAAAAGAGAAAATTTTTTCAAAATCTGTGAATCCTTTGCGATTAAAAAACTTAAGCCCTTGAAGAGACCAGATCATAGGTGGGTGTACATTTTATGTGTTTTAGAAAGAATGAAAGATCTGTGGGATGCTCTTTTTGCATTTTATTTTCACTACTTGGATATAAAACTGATAAAAGGGATTATTTTTCTTATGTTGAAACTGTATACAATAAAAGAAATATTTCTGCAGCTCAGAAAAAATTGTTGAAAGGTGTATTCTTGCTTGCATTCCCAACAACTCACAAAGGATGCTTTAGCTCGGAAAAAAAGAATACTAAATGGGTTATTTGTTATGCAAAACAAAACTTTATTGCATATGGCATTATATTCAGCAGTATTACCAGAGTTCAACACATATATTAAATTATTTGAAACAAAAAAACCAATGCTTCATTTAATACATTCCAGTATTTATAAATTGATGGCAAAATTTTTCTCTTTTTTTTTATGAAGCCAGAAAATATAGAGTGCACATCTTATAATGATTTATTAAAGGTTGATGTCACAAATCCAGAATTCCATCTACCTAGCAAAGTAATATTTACTGGTGCAGAAGCTTCCACTCTCCTGAAGAAATTATCAAAAAATCATCCAATAGCAAAAGAATTCCAAATTTCTCTGATGAAAGCTTATACTAATACAGCACAGCATATGAAACAGAAATTACCCCTTAAAATTCATATCTAATTAGTTTTACAGCATTAGATCCAGAGCTAAGAGGTAAAACCAGTACAATATTAGCTTTTGGAAAATTATCTTTTATGTCCCATATTTTTAGTGATAATGAAAAGTCAAAAGTAGAAACTGAAATAAGGTTATTCCAGAGTGATATTGATATCACCAAAGAAATGCTCTACACATCTGATGAAAGTGGAAATCAAATCAAGTGTACAATTGATAAATATTGGTCTAAAGTTTTTAATTTAAAAGATGATTTCACAAATGATTATAAGTATCCTACATTGGTTAAATTGGTCAAAGCCTGCCTTAGCTGCTTCCATGGCCCATTAGTGGAAAGTGCATTCAACTTAATGGATACACTTGTCACTGACTATAGAACCTCTCTTAAGATTGATTCCCTAGATGCAGTGCAGACTATTAAATATGATTTAATGGCTTCTAAAGAAACCTCATGTGAAAAATATGGCTCAAAGAATCCAATGACTGATCCAATTCACAAAGATCTCTTACTGAATATGAACAGAAGTTGGAAAACATATCAAGAGGACTTAAAAACATGTATTTCAGATGAGTCACCTATAAAAGTCTCTGAAAAACCTTCTACATTAGCAGAAAAGCAAACTGCTTCTACCTCTGCATGTGCAGTTCTCGAGGAAATTTCTTCAACTGTAAATGAGGAAAATAAAAGTCAACCTTCCTGCAATTATGAAGTTTACCACAAAAGAAAGAGAAGCCCACAAACATCAGAAAATAAAAAAAAGCAGCAGAAATTAGATAATTTTTGTTTTAAAGAATTAATTCAGGTAATTTAAAATATTTACATAAAATGTAGTAGTTTATATGTTTGAAAATTTATGGTTATTAATTTTGCAAAAAAAAGTAATTCATTGAACTTTTCTAATTAGGTCATTCAATACTTCATAATTGTAATTTTTCATTTATCTCCCCCCCCCCTTCTCGAAACTCCAAAATGTGGTAGTAAGTCCGTAAAAGTTTCAGGATATTTTTTCGGGTCCCACAAACACCCCTGAAAATGTTTATGTAGTTTTTCTGTATATTAATATGAACTTAAAATAATTTATGTGTTTTTTAATGCAGTCAAACATATGTTGTTGTTAGAATTCTAGCAGTTCAATCTTTTCTAAAATTATTTATTTATTTACTTATTGAGTTATTGTTGTCGTGTCCACATCACATGGAACAATGGTTGCCAGAGCATACTCCGAAGAGAGGTTGAACTTCTATTCCAAAATCCTATTGCAGTTAAAAAAATAATATGAAGCTTTGGAAGCTTAAAATTTCTGATCATTTAACATTTTACAGGAGATGAAACAAGGAATGATTGAATATAATACCTTTACTTGCCAAATGATAAAACTAAATATTTACACTTGTAAATAAAACTAAAACCTCAATGCAAAAAATGTAGTTTAATTTTGGAATTTCTGATGCTTCTTTGTTCATATCTGTTCTCAATGTAAAACAATTAGAAAATAAGTTATTTAAAGGCATATTACCATATGAGAAAAAACGCAACAATTTGAGTAATGCTGAAGCATAAATATGTACATAAGATTAAAATCTACATATTACTACAAGATCACATCATTATAAGTATAAATTTTATTTCTCTTGCAAGGAAAAATGTACATAAGATGTAAAGTTAGGTATTTTGAAATTGGCATATTATATATGGTATCAAAAGCTTATTTTATTCAATTATTCTCATAATATAAAACACCAATTTTACAAAATGTTATTAAGGTGTTTAGACTATGTTAAATAATAAATTTTATTATGCTGCTGAGTAATGCCTTTTAGTGAAATAGAATTTAAATGATAAAACTAAAGTGTGACTGACTGCCAAATGACAGCTATCTCTAATCGTTATTTGCACTGAATGAAAACCATTAATTTAAAAGAATAACATCTCTAAAGGGTGTTATTAATAATATATTATATTTTTGTTGTAATATTTAGTATTACTAAATAAGATAAATTCTTTTAAACGGTAGTACTTATTGATTAAATGTATGAATTAGAGTGCAAATGAGAAATAAAGAATAAAAGTAAAGGTTAAATAACTAATAAAACTAAAACTGAAAGTTATTAAGATTAATAACTTAGTTATAAAGATGAAGATTTTTTTTTTTTAGTTTGTTTACAATGCTTAGGAATGCTTTCAAAATTCATAACTCTCTTTGATGTCATAGTCTTCTTCAAACCAAGGTTCAACAGCCTGGGATGAATCCGGTTTTCTCTAGAAATAGTGTTTAGAGATTATTGATAATTCCATGTACAATTCCTGGAGTTTGAGCTTTCAGATTTTCGTTTTCAGGAGAAAAAGGTCTTTTTTGAAGCAGTCTCATCAAACTCCAGTAAATACTGGAGTTTGATGAAAATTATATATTCATGTGATAGGAAATTTTTCTTCACCATTTCCTTTTGTCTGTATTCCTTCAATGAATATATTGAACATTACTTTTGTAATATTTTTTAAAATGCTTTATTTTCTTCCTTATTGTTATTTTTCAGTCTGTGTCAAACCAATCCCAACATTCTTCATTGCTTTCTTAATTTTCCCGAAACAGTATCACCTATCTTAATATAACCTCTTTAAACAAGCTCCATTTTTCAGTAGTTTCAATATTTCTATCCTTTATTCTC